CATGGTCTATTCCTGGGTGATAAAATAGTAAAGTATCTATTATTATTTTATTAAAAATATCTAAGTATTTAAGATAGGAGCCTGGTAGCTTGTTTTCTATTTCTACAGAATTTTTTAGCTAGTTGAATTTATAAAGAGTTTTATTAATATTTACCAGGCTTACTGTAAACAGCTTTACTAAGTTTTTTTTTTTCTTTAATTTTTCTAAGTATACCACACGTTGGCGGAGATTATAAGTGGTATTAAAAAGTAATTCTGTTTTTATCTATATTATACTTTTATTTTTATACTCTGGATGTTGAGTATAGAGTTCTTAACTTAAAATATTATATTCTGATATTTTATCCATGGAAGTCTTAATATAATATTATATTTATATATATATAATAGGATGTAGAGATATATATATTTTTATAGATTTTTATCTATATCCAGTAATATTTTTATTAATTCAGTTATACAGGCTTTCTTTTTCTTGAATTTTTTAATACTTTAGGGTTTGATAAGGATATGCTTCAGTTTATTTTTATTTATAAAGTTCTAGCTAATTATCCTGTAAGATGTATAGCCGGTATTAATTAAAATATTTATAAAATAAATTTTATTGACTAATCCTAATATGAAGAAAGTATAGTGGTTTTTAAATTCTTAAATCTTTTTCTTAAACTCTTTATAATTATGGTTAATTGGTGTGTATCTCTCTAGATAATAATTTAGAAAAACTATATTTTTTCTAGAACTAGGATTTGCTGAGTAACTAGATTCTTTAATATTTAATTAATTTTACTAGCTGGGTTATCTTTGAGTAAAACTTAGTAAACTTTATTCTTTAAATCTTAGAGACGCTGTGGTAGCAGATAAGGATATTTAGTAATATAATATTTTAAAGATCTGTAATATAAATAGAGTCCTGTTTTACAGTATTTAATTAATATTTTTTTTAATATCTATTAGGCTTGTTGAGCAGGTCTTATACTTATTATTATAGATTCTTAATTTATAATATTATCTATAATTATTTTTTTAGGGGCGCTACCTGCCCAGATATTAAAATATTCTAATTATTTTCCTAAAAATCAGTTTATCTCTATAAATTTATTAGTTATCTGTTTAATTTATTAATAAAAATCTTTAAAGTCTGGTTTCTGTTTAATATCTACTATCTGTTAATAAATATTATTATTTAGAATTTAATACAGGAGATTTTTTTTATTTAAGTTTTTTTAATTATATTCTCTGGCCTTGATTAGCAGGCTGTTAATTTTTATTAAAAAATTATTAATTATTTAATTTTCCTGCTTGAGAGTAGACAGCTTACTGATAATTTTTTCTTATTAAACTAGATTTTTATAAATTAGTTTAAGATAATTAATTAAAGCTGTGACTGAGAAGAATAAGATCTTATAATTAATCTCTATTTATAGATTAATCTTTGTTTTAATTTCTCTGTCTAGAAGTATAAATATATACTAAATTTATTCAGCTAGTATATTAATAAATTATTAATTAATTCTAATTTTTATTTATATATTATTAAGCTAACTCAGGAACTTATTTTTATTTTTTTTATTAAAGCTTACAGATATTAGTAACTTTAATTTCTTTATATCAGCCGGATCTTGGGCTGGTACTAATATTAATATTAATATTAATATAGATAGAGATACTGTAGTAAATGCCTAAGAAGATAGAAATCAGATATTAATAAATTATTTAATCTGCTTGAGACTGGCCCTAATCTTATTATTTATTATTATATTCTTTTGGAAGATAATATATTATATTTCTATACTCTGGATTATTAGTTCTTTGATATATTTAATTAACTAATTAATAATATTGGCTTGAGTAGTGTCTCTATAATAATTAGAAATATTTATTAATTTATTATAGTTGTTACATATTGCTAGTCTATTATCTAATAAATACTTTGAAAAGGAATAAATTCAAAACTGTAATAGGCTAAGAAGCTGGGAGAACTATGTAAAATATAGTAATTAATAAAGAAATTGAATTTATTAGAGAAAGAACTATCTAATCTATAGATAGATTAGTCTTTTTTATAGATAATTCTTCTGGGAGTTTTTCTTTATAACTTCAGTATACTTCTTTACTTACTCTGGAGATTTCTATCCTTCTTACAGATATCTCTGGGTCAAGGTCCAGAACCAGATGGATCAGAACATAGATGTTCTGATTCTAGATAGCTGACAGGGCCTAGCCCTTTTCAACTGTCTTTTATTAAATTACTATCTTTTACTATTTTTAATAGCTTAACTTAACCTGCTTTTTTCTTTGGACAGTCCTAGGCTAAGTATTCCTATTTCTAGTAGATAAAATAATGTTCTTCAGCTATTATATGGATGCGTTCCTCCGGCTCCATGCTAGTGGTATAACTGGTGTTATAGAAGGTCTTGGCCGGGGCGGAGAAGGTTATGGTTATAGTAATAATAATAGTTGATATAAGCAGCTGGTGACTCAGGATACTTATCTTGTGACAGCGAGTGATGTCTCTGGGTCACATGACTTCTGTTTATTTGCTTTATTTGCCTGTCTCGCGTGGCTTATTTACCTTTATATAATTATATGTTCTCCCTGAGCTTCTTTCTTTCTTTTCTTATACTAGAAATTCTTATTAGATAGTATTAAATTTGATTATTTAATTAATTTTTATATAATTTCTAGTATCACTCTATCTTTCATTTTCTAAATTAATATTATATACTGCCAGCTACCTAGCTTAGCAGCTAGTATTACTTTTTATATATACTTGATAATATTAAACACAGCTAAGACAAAATAACCTGACCAAGATCTGAACTAGAATAATTAATAAGAATACTTATAATAGCTAGAGAAAGCTATACTAAATCAGCACCAAGTATTATAAATTCTTGATAATATCTAATAATTCTACTAGAAGGAGAGCCTGATAACAGGAGAAATATTATCTATAATTAATTCTATAAATTATATATAAAGAATCCTGATAAAATCTTTAATATAATTCTTTGTATTATAAAAGAAGTAGAGATAGAGATATAAAAGACTATCTACTAATAGAATAAGCTTAATAATAATTATAATAAATTAATATATAAATATAATTTATATACTGTCTAACTTCTCTGGCTTAATAACTAGAGCAGCTAAGTAATTAAAATCTTTAAATTTAAGAAGTTAATAAAGATCTCTAATTTATCTTTATTCAGTAATAGCAAGACTATCAGTTTTAAAGACTAGCTTTTTATAATATAATAGAAATTAAAGACTAATATAGATTACCTGAGTATAGCTACTATTTAATAAGCTTATATAATCAGCTATTATAAAAATAATACTAGAAAGTATTTAATTCCCTGATTCTGTTCTGATACTTTAAATTCTTATATAGATATAACTGATATACTTAAATATCTAAAAATTATTTATACTAATCTAAATAAATCTTATAACACGCGCCGACAGTATCAGAAATTTAAAATAATAATTAATAATAAATTTTATAGTTTTATATTTATATTCTACTACCTCGCTGTAGAAGCAGGTATTATTAAAGTCTATTAAAAAAAAAATCTTTATTAATATCTTTTATTTAAGTTACAGGAGCTGACTATGTCCTGTTTTAATAATAATAATATAATATTCAAGCAATATGTTAAGGAGTGTGCCTGATTATTAAATTTAATTAATAATATAATAAAATATTATAGTAAGATAAGTATCCTGAGTTGCCAGCTGTCTATATTAATTATTATTATTACTATAATTATAATCTTTTTTATTCTAATTAAAATCTTCTGTAACACCAGCTGCACCACTAGTATAAAGCTAGAAAAATATACTTATATAATAACTAAAGAATACTGCTTTATTTACTAGAAACAGAAATACTTAACCCGGGATTATCTAAAGAAGAAAGCAGGTTAAATCAAGCTGTTAGAAATAATAAAGAATAATAATTTAATAAAAGATAATATCTAGAAGAAGTCTTTTTTCTAGATAAAATAAATATTAATATTAGTTTATTAAATTTATAAGATCTACTAGACCAAGAGAATAAAAGCTTTACTATTAAAACTTTAATATTAAATAATAGACTAGTAGTATCTGCATGTATTCTTACTAATACTAGAGTTAATATTTATACTTATATAAATACTATTTTTGCTATTCAGATAGTCTGCTGATTTTAAATTAATATTATTTTTCTTAAGATTAACTATATTATTACAGGCTTTGATAATAAGATCACAGTATTTTTAATTTATATTATCTAACTTATATTTATAATTAACAAACACTAATTCTATAATATATTATTTCTGATACTTAAATTAGGCCACCATGATATTATCCTGGAATAAATATAATTTATAAAATAAGAGATCTTATTAGATTACTAATAAGATAAACTAGTATAGTCTGACTATCTTTTTTTATAAGATAAAGTTAAGATTAGATTACTATAATAAATCTTTTAAAATATTTTATTACAGTATTTAATTAATCAGAGTTACCAGTAAGATACTATCTAATAAGATTATAATTTTTAAAGAATAATTAATATTCTACCACGGATATTTTTTCTTAAAATAAAGCCTGAAATGCCCTGAATCTACTAAAGTACTCTATAAGAAATCTTAGCTAAAATATACTGAAATCTGATAGATTAAAGTTTTTAATATTAAATTCTTAAGACCTCCCGGAGTCCCCAAAGAAGAAATATCCTTAAAAAAATTAAGATAACTTTTATTAAAACTGCTGTCTTCTATAGATATCTTTAAAATTCTAAATTAGAAATATTCATTATATCCCTGAGCATGATTAAGAAAGTTATTATAAAAAAAATAAATTCTTATTATAAAATATCTAAGCTAATTAAGAAAAAGAAAATAAAATAGACTCTTTTTAAATATTATTATAATCTAATAGATATCTTTTTTAAAAAAGAGTCAGATATTTTACCTATCTTCTGACCACATGACTACTATATTTAACTAGAAAAAAATAATCTGTTAAAAATAATTTTTTTTTATAAAATAATCTTAGAAAAACTTAAAGCCGCCTGTAATTATATTATTAAGAATCTGAAAAAAAGATTTATTATATTTAATACAATTCTGTTTATCTCTTTTATTCTAATAATAAAAAAGCCCGGAGGAGGATTATATCTGTATATTAATTATTAAAAGCTTAATATCCTGATCTGTAAGAATCTCTATCCTATTTTCTTAATTAATAAGATGATAGACTGCTTCTGGAATATAAAAATATTTATAAAATTTAATATTTATTAAGATTTCTACTGTATTTACATAGATTTTGAATCCGAAGACTTAATTATTTTCTAAATCTATTATAGAATCTTTAAATATTAAATATTACTATTCAGATTTATAAATAGACTAGCAGTTTTTTAATATCTTATTAATAAGATTTTTATGGACTTCTTAAACAAGTTTATTATAGTATATATAGATAATATACTAATCTTTAGTAAAAATAAAATAAAGCACAAGTTTTATATTTATCAGATTCTTGAGTATCTTCAGGCAGCCGGACTTTAAGTAATAATTTATAAGTATAAATTCTATATAATAAAAACTAGATTTCTAGATTTTATTATCACTACTACAGATATTCAGGTTAATTCTATAAAGACTACTATAATTATAAAATAATAGCATCTGATTACTATTAAAGAAATATAATTATTTCTTAGATTCTGTAACTTCTACCAGTATTTTATAAGAAATTATAGCTGGATTACTAAATCTATAAATTAGCTTATCTGGAAGAATATTTTATTTATCTAGAACTAATTCTATAAGACAGTCTTCCAGATCTTAAAACAGGTCTTGATATTAACTCCTATACTAGTTTATTATAATTTTTCTAGATTTATACGTGTTGAAACTAATATAACTAATAAAATAATTACAGGAGTTTTTTACTAGCAGATTAAGAATATATAATATTTTATAACTTATTACTTAAAGACCATGTCTCCACCCGAGTATAACTATAATATTTATAATAAGGAAATATTGGTTATTATATATACTTTTATAAAATAAAGAGCAGAACTGGAAGATCTATAATAATCAGAGAAATTTATAATTTTCATAGACCACTGAACTCTAAAATATTTTATAATTATTAAAAAATTTAATACCCGGCAGGCTTGCTTGGCAGAAATACTATTTTAATATTATTTTATTATTAAATATTAACTAAAAAAAAATAATATACTAGCTGACTGCCTTACATGGAAGAAGACTAATTTAAAGATAGCTAATAATTACTATTACTAAATACTATTAAAGTCTAAGTTTCTAGAATTTAATATAACTTTTAATTTAGTACTGATAGCTCCCGTGAAATAAAATCTCTATATTATAGATTATATTCTAGAAGTAAATTATATTTATCTTTTTTTAAAAAACCTCCGGAAGCAAGTCTATTAGTAAAAGACTAACTACTTCCTGTAAGATAGACTGCTTCTATATTAAAATAAACTAATAATCTCTGATAAAGATAATCTACGGGCCTGACTTCTAGATAAAATCTATTAATAACTATTACTAGCTTACCCTGGATAAACTAAGATAATAATATTAATTAAATAATAATATTTCTAGAGCACTTGGAACAGAGATATCTAATATTATATAAATAATTACTTAATTTATAAAAGAAAAAATATATATTAAGACTTATTATTTAAACTACTTTAATTCTTTCTGATCCCTGATCAGCCATGATAATATATATTTATAGACTTCTACTTCTTCCTAAAGAACTGTCACGGGTTTAATCCTGTCTTTATAGTAATAGATTATTTTAATAAATATATAATATTTATCTCCTGTATAAAGCAGATCTTTATATAAAATATAATTTATTTATTTATTAATTAAGTTTATACCTGGACAGGACCTCCTGATATTATTATTTCTAACTAAGGAAATTAATTTATAACTAACTTTTGGAATAAACTATACTGAATCTTATAAATTAAATTAAAGCTTTTAATAATATATTATCTGCAGACTGACAGGTAAATAAAAATTATTAATTAATATACAGTCCAGTAATTTATTTTATTTATTAATTATTTCCAGGACAACTGGTTAGAACTATTATTATTTATTAATTTTACTGCCGCAGTTCTATCCTATAAATTTACCAGATTATCTCTGTTTATAGTTAAAAAAGAGTATAAACTCTAAATATTATTTAACTAGATTCCTCCGGCAGACTTATTACTATATATTATTACCTGAGACTAAGCCCGTGAGTTTACTTGCTGTATAGAATAAATCTAGATCTTTATATAAGATAGAATCTAGAAGATACAGGGCTAGTAAATATAACAAGCTAACTAGTCTTATTATCCTGTTAATTTTGATATTAATAATAAAGTTTTTATTAATATTTATAATTAAAGATAAGGCTAGCCCTCATAAAAGCTATCAAAAAACTGATATAATTTTATATTTATTATTAATAAGATTAGTAACGCCTACAAGATTTATCTTTCTAAAAATATATATATATACTCTGTCTTCTATTCCAAAAAGCTCTATTTATATAATATATTTAATCTATTATTAGAATAGATCTAAGATACTACTATATTTATTAAAATTAATAATCAGATAAAATAAAAGATTAAGAATATTCTAGCTAGTTATTTATAATATAATTATCTCCAGTATAGAGTTAAATGGCTGGTATCTGATATAACTGATTATACTTAATATTTAATAAGAAATTTTAAGAATATTCTTTTCTATTTTTAAAATTATTATATAAAATATTTTACTTATCTTAGACTCTCTAAGCGCCTCCTGTAATAGTTAGTAATTATAAAGATTAATAAATTTATACTAAACTACAAAGAAGATAATTTATCTCTAGCTGAAAGTAGCCAGATCTAAACAGGGAAATAATATAACAGTAAATAATATTTCTAAATCACATAACTTCTGTTTATTTACTTTATTTACTTATTTTATATAACTTACTTATTTTTATATAATTATATGTTCTCCCTGAACTTCTTTCTTTCTTTCCTCATACTAGAAATTCTTGTTAGATAACATTAAATTTGACTATTTGATTAGCTTCCACAATCTTACTATAGTACTTCATCATATTATTAATTAAGTCTAATAATCAGGTACACTTCTTGATATACTGCTTGAATGTCATGTTATTATTATTAAAGTAGAATATGGTTAGCTCCTGTAGCTTGGATAGAAGATATTAATAGAGATCTTTTTTTTAATAGATTTTAGTAATGCCTGTCTCTATGATAAGGTAGTAGAATATAAATATAAAACTGTAAAACTTATTATTAATTATTATTTTAAGCTCCTGATACTGTCAGCGCGTATTATAAGATTTATTTAGATTAGTATAAATGATTTTTAAATATTTAAGTATGTCGGTCACATCTGTATAAGAATTTAGAATATCAGAATAGAGTCAGGGGATTAAATACTTTTTAGTATTATTTTTATAGTGGCTAATCATGTAAGCTTATTAGATAGTAATTATATTTAAGTAGTCTGTATTAGCTTCCAGCTTTTATTATATTATAAGGAGCCAGTTTTCAAAGCTAATAATCTTACTATTACTGAATAAAGATAAATTAGAAATCTTTATTAATTTCTTAGATTTAGAGGTCTCAGCTACTTGGCTGTTCTGGTTATTAAGCTAGAGAAACTAAACAATATATAAATTATATTTATATATTAATTTATTATAGTTATTATTAAGCTCATTTTACTGGTAGACAGCCTCTTATATCTCTATTTTTACTTCTTTTATAATATAAAGAATCATGTCAAAGATTTTATCAGGATCCTTTATATATAGTTTATAAAATTAGTTATAGATAATATTTTTTCTATTATCAAGCTTTCTTTCTAACAGGATTATCAGATATTATTAAAAGTTTATAGTACTTAGTACTGATTTAATATAACTTTCTTTAGCTATTATAAGTGTTCTTACTGATTATTCTAGTTCAGATCTTAATTAGGTTATTCTGTCTTAGCTGTGTTTAATATTGCTAAGTATATATAAAAGATAATATTAACTGCTGAGCTAGATAGCTGGTAGTATATAATATTAACTTAGAGAATGAAAGATAGAGTGATACTAGAAATTATATGAAAGCTGATTAAATAATTAAATTTAGTATTATTTAACAAGAATTTCTAGCATAAGAAAAGAAAGAAAGAAGCTCAGGGAGAACATGTAATTATATAAAGGTAAGCAAGCCACGCGAGGCAGGCAAACAAAGTAAACAAACAGAAGTCACGTGACCCAGAGATGTCACTCGCCGTCACATCAGTATTGATATTTATATAATAATTAGTATTATATAGTAATATTGTTGGTGCTGGCTACTAATGACTTGGGTGAACCTACTAGGTTCCGCTGCTTAATGTGGTTCTGCCACCAGCGGCCGCCTTGCGAGGAAGGCCAACCTCCCCGCTGATAGTTTAGAGTAACAGGAGAGAATCAATCAATATAATACTATATTTATTCACCATTTCGCGCAGGTAGTACTAAATATCTTGACATTATATATAAACAGAAGATTATCTATAATAAGATCTGTTTAGATTATAGATCAGAGATATTTTTACTTACTAAAGCTGTGATAGAACGGATCGGTGAACTAGTTGATTGCAGCCAAAGACATCAGAATGACGTATCATAGTGGTCATTAAGGTTGTGAGGTCATCGATAGTGGTTCCCGAGCGTCCCGTTCAGTATATAGTAGTGATTCTCATTGATCTATTACTGATCTTAGGGATCAGTCTACTCCGTGGATATAGGCTATCTTGTTGTTATTCTATGAATCTATGGTGTTTTATGGCGGATTTCTTACCTAGTCGACAGGCTTTCTACCCTGACAAGTAGATCCTATCACAAATCTAGATGTCGAGAAGGTATTAGTTATTATTATCATTAATAATAAGTCTATTATTATTAATGATAATTAAGTATATATAATTGTTTTCTTAATTATTAATAAACACCTGCACCTGTATCTATATTCTAGTTATACAGGATACTTGTATATAATACCCTGGGCAAGACTTACACCTCTTTATAGTACTCAGGATTAGTAGCTATCTGTATGATAAAGTCAAGCAAGTCATCCAATAGTGTATAACTATATAGTTTCATATAGATAGATATGTTAGATAAGCTATGCAATCCAATCAGACTTCATACTTATTCTGCCGGCAGTAAACACCAAAAAATAGTTTTTGCCCGATGGCCGCTATTAACCGCCGTAGGCTAGCGTTTTTTGTTCACCTAGTTTAGCTACGGCGGTTTTTTTTTTTTTTTTTTTTTGTTGTCCTGAACTAGATGCTGATCCCGACCTAGACCAGGAACAAGTGAGCTTATTGATTATTGATTGAAATGTATCCTCATGTGAAAATATTAGCATTATTACGTATTATGATATGAGTTAGGCCTATGTCAGGATTCTAAATCTCTCAAGCGTCATAAAAGACTACAAATTAGGGGCGCGCATTGTCAAGAAGGAACTGCATGGCCTCGGGCCACCCTGAATCCACCATTTCCAAAACAGTCTGTCCTGTCTCATCGTGCTGCGTGAGATCAGCTCCGCCTCCCTTCTTAACTAGCAGATGCAACAATGGCAGATCCCGATACTCAATCGCCTGCATGATAGCATTCCAGTGCCGGTAAGTTTTATTGGGGTCAGCACCCTTTTCAAGCAGAAGCTCAATCATGGAAAAGTTACCATTGAGGGTCCGGCGGATTGCTTTCACGAGTGGGAGATGCTCGCCGGGGGCATTTGGATCGGCACCTCCTTCCTCCAGCAGGAACCTCACAATGTCTTCATGTCGCTCTCGCAAGGCCGTAGTGAGTGGGGAGAAGACGCCACCGTTTTTACACTCGACACTGGTACCAGCAGCGAGCAGCAGTTTAATGCTCTCAAGCTGGTTGGCAAGCACGGCCATCTCCATGACGCCCTTGTAAGCAGAGAGATCAGGGACCAGCGGAAGCAGTTTCTGAAGCAGAGCCGGAGACCGCACGGCCATGCATACAGGCCAATCTTGCCCGCGTTGAGCTGGGTTGGCACCATGTGCGAGCAGGTAGCTGAGCATTTCCGACCGGTTCTCACGGATGGCCGTTGTCAGTGCAGTATGACCTTGTGCGTTGCGGGCATTCACGTTCGCACCTCCCTGCTCAACCAGCCACTCCAGGGCCGCAGTGTTGTTGACTTGCACGGCCAGCTCTACGATTCCAGGTGGTTGAAAAAGATCAGCACCAGCCGCAATCAAGACAGGTAGGAAATGGAGTCGGTTGTGGGTGACACATTTCCAAGCGGGATATTCGGATGCCATGACGTTTGGGTCCGCACCGTGCTCCAGCAGCAGTTTCAAGATGTCGGCCCTATTGTCGCGAATGGCAGAGCAGAGGGGCGTGTAGGTACCGTCCTTTTTGGCATTCGGATCGAGTCCAACCTCCAGCAGGGTGCGAACGGCTTCGATATTGTTCATGCTGGTCGCCTGTTCCATGAGACCTGGGGTCTTTCTGATGTCGGCCCCGCTATTTAACAGAAGACGCAAACATGCTGGCCGGGAGATAGCTAGCCATAGGACATGCTCCGGTCCAGGGAGATTCGGATTGGCGCCGTGTTCGAGCAGTGTCGTTACGACGGCAATCTGCTCGGTCTGCACCGCCTCGTTGAGTGCTGTTCTCCCTTGGCAGCCCTTCTTGTTTGGGTCGCTGCCGGCATCTAGTAAGAGAGTGATTAGCTTCGGTGGCGCCTGTTGTTTGATAAGCTCGACAAGCACTGTGCTACCGCTTGGCGTTTCAGTATTTGCATTCCCCCCATGCGCAAGCAGCTGCTGCACCATATTGAGCTTTCCCTTCGCCAGTGCACGACTCAAGGGAGAGTCCTGTCCCGGCTCCGATGCATAGTTGGAATCAGCGCGATACTTCAGTAGCAAGTTCGCCCCGTCGACAAACGACTCATCCACTGCGACAAGCAAGGGCGTCTTTCCCTGCCGGTCGGGTTCGTTTGGGTTTGCACCAAACTGCAGAAGCAGGCGCATGCCCTGAAAATCGTGCTGGTGCACGGCCTCGTTGAGCGGATGAATATGCTCCCCAAGATTGGGCGACACTCCACTGTCCAATAACTGCTCTAGCAACTTGTGGTTCCGTCCCCGGACGGCGGAGGCTAACGCACCGCGCAGTCGCGTCGCACTAGCTCCACTGTTTCGGCTAGGGGTGCGATGGAGCGGGCCAGCTGATGGCTCGTATAGCCGGTGATATGTGAGGGTATCCCCAGATATATTATCGTCGAGAGGCGTGATAATTTCCGTTTGTGGCTCGCGCGAGCTCGTCCGCACAGGATTCCCATTCAGTCGCAGAGGCTGAGGACGGGAGTTAACGGGGGGCAATGAAAGATGGTCCTGGCCATTGTCATTTGCAATGAGGAGGGAGTCAAGCGAAAGCACGGAGGAGAGTATGTCATCGGCATTGGACTGGGGGTTTTCTATCGCAACCGAGAGTTGTACTGGGGACTCTTTGGGGGGCACAGAGGGGACTGACGCGGATGACAACGAAGTGGCCACCTCCTTTGATACCTTTTCTAGAGATTTAGCCTTGTTGATGCCCATTACCGACCGACCTTTGGCCATACGGTCCAGTGCGGCAGCCAGCCCGGCGTAGCCAATGCCCACTGATTCTTCCATGAATGGCTGTTCGCCAAGAGACCAGTGAAAGGCGAGGACGCTGATTTGAAGTGTTTCAGTTGTCTTTTTCAATGACTCGCGAATGCGGTGCAGTTCGAGGCTTGGGCGATTCCATCCGCGTTGAAGCCTGCCCAGGGCGCCACGATGTTCATACTGAATGAGTTTAGTCACGACCTTGTCCAGACTCTGGAAATCGCGATACGCGGCCATGAATTTCTTCGCCACCTCCTCCACGATCACATCGGGCAGAGCGCGACCGGCAGCAGTGGATTCGGTGAGACCCGCATCAATGGCCCATAGAGCACGACAGGTATCTAGGAAAGTCTGTGATAGTTCACGAAAGCCATCCGGTAGGTCGTGCTCAGTGCTGAGATAGTCCAGCATATGCACCGAAATGCGATTGCCTAGCTGAGTGGCCTGAGCCGAGACGGTGAAAACGGCCTTTTGAGCAGCCATTGCGTTTGAAGAAGGCAATCTGGCAAGAAATAAAGAGAAGAACGGGTAAGAGGGGGAGAGGAGGAGCCTCAGACAGGATCGATAGATACTAAAAGAAAAGAAAGAGAAAAGGATTTGGAATCTTTAGAGGGGGTGGGTGAAGGAGGACCAGGAGTCGTCCGCGAGCTAATAACAAAAAAGAGGGCCATGGTAGTGAAGGAACCAACCATGAGGCAGGTGCAGCAGCGATACCTTTCACTAATCCTGCTCAGCTGGGATGATGAATGGATGTAAACTTCGGCGGACTCAAAAGGCTCCCCTGGATGGTGAGAACTAGAGGAGTGGGACCTTCGGCCCAGACCGAGCCGGCTTGAGCCTTCGAGGACAGTAGTTTTGGAGTATTGAGAGGACAGCCTCTTTTGGGTTCCACTTGCCTGCTTTAGGTTCACTCATGTGGAGTCCGACGGCCTCGAGAGGTGTGAAATGACTGGGGGAGACATATCGGGTCGCAATTTCGCAATCTCATAAGCCGGTTTCAATCCTTGGAGGTTTCGAGAGGGAGACTAAGTTCAAAGGCTGACGCAGGAAGGTCAATGGGAAGTTCAGCTGGGCTAGGGTTAGCACGGAGCCAGGAGTCAATCTAGACGGTTTATAGCTAAGTGGTAGGAAAACTACGTACCTAGTAAGTAGATAAGTAGTTCATTTTCCCGAACTGCTTCCCGCCCCACAGGTTCTCGTTCACCCTTACTGTATGTAGCAGTATCATGTACACTAGGTAAAGCAAACCCTCCAGCATCGGTTTGGTGCCTCGGCTTTTTCATAATAAATTGGTTCCGAGCACCGCTTTAGTCCAAGAGGATTATCGCTTGCTATTCGGAGCAGACGAGACAACAGATGCCACTACTTTGCTCTACCTATCATATCAGAACACCAACAAAGTAAGATTGTGCAATCGAAGGGCGGCGAAATGCGGGGCCGGGCCGGGTCAACAAAAAGACCGGCTCGAGCAGGTATAAGGATACGAAGGAAGTTGAACTGAATATAATAAAGTAGTATACTATATCCCGCATAGAGACAGATTTACCTATATAGACAAGCGCACCATCATATTCTCGACAACCGGCCCATGCAGTAAACAAGCCGGAACTCCAACCCCGATGCTCCACATGCAGAAACAAGCGAACAGAAGATGAACCATGAAACAATACACCACCCCTACCAGATTCAATCCAATCTATCAATCAATCAATCCTAGTCCCTTCAAACCAGCAGAGAGATAAAGAGAGAAAGATGCAAACTATGCAAAGTAGTATGCAGCGACGAAATTCTATACATGACAAGACGTAACACAACCAATGTCACTCAATCAGGGTAGGTAGTTGTTACACCTGACCTGGATAATATTCTGCTCTCCAGAAGAGCTAATCACGAAAGCGGTGAGTTTTCCGCCGGCGATACAGCCGGTGTCAATACCCTTTGTGTAGGTGTTGATGTTGAGGGCTGTTTCGGAGTCGTGGCCGTAGATGACGGTGGTGGCTTTGACGGCACCTGCATCTTGGTCGTCGTCTTTGTTCGAGCTTATGGAGCTTGTATAGCCGACGGATTGGTGCTTGTTGAAGAACTATACTGTTATTAGTATCATTGTCTCAAAGCAACATAGTACGGAGAAATTATAAGGGGGACTAACCTTAGTCCACATCATACCATCCCGCTCTAGGCTAGGCATATGGGTGTCCAAATCGATGGTCAACATATTCATCACGCTATACGGGTCTTGATGATTCAGATCCACACCCGGAATCAGTCCCCCATGCACGACCGCAACCTGTCCCATGGTAGGAATCTGTCCCACGTTAAGAATAACTGGGCAGGCGTCTAGCCAGTCTGCTTGTTCGTCTGACAGGACACGCGCGAGATCACGTTCATTCTTGGCCTGCTCTGTAGACTGACCATCGAGGTATTGATCGGAAGAGGTATCAGTTAACGTCTGAGCTTCGATCATATTGTGGCGCATAACAAGGACGCGATCTTCGTTGTTTCCGCGCACACAGGACGCGGAATACTTTCGGGCGAAGTCGACAACGTCAGTGCTGTTGGGGCCCTGGCTAATCATGTTTCCAGTAAAGATGAGGTGATCGTTGGTCGGATCGAAGAGGAGTTCTTCGAGGAGGCGGTCCACTATCAATAATTTTGTATGTCAGCGATCCATGCATGCATTCAAATACCATGGACTGCATCAAGGGGGGTGAAAAGGGGGCATACACTCTGCCATGCATCCCTGCACATCACCCACAACAATCAGCCGTTCCTCCCCCTCAGGCAAAAGCTCCTTATCCAACTTTTTCACCTGCACAACATCATCAAACCCGGGAAAAGCGTTCGTTCCAAACCATCCACCCACTTCCTCCTTCACCTCTGGATCTAGCGCCCGCAACAACGACGCATGCTCCGCTAGCCGCGGAGAGAGGATATACAGCCACCCCAGCAGACACGTTATGACAAGGATCAAGTACACCACGACATAGCGACGGAAGCGCGGCGCAGTGACAATAGACAGGAAGAGTTGGACGAATCGGGAAGGTTCAGAGGGCTGGTCGGGGTTGGCGAGATGGGAGTATTTGGCGTTAGTTTGCCATTCGTTGCGCACGTAATCGATCAAGGGTCTTGTGTAGCGCTTAATGCGACCCGTAGGGTGGGGAGAGAAGCGGCCATCATCAGAGGTGTCGGAGGAGTATTCGAGGCTTTCGGTGTCGTGATAATTATTCATATTGGGAGGCGGACAAGTGTTGTTTTGTCTGATTCCGGAGGACGAGTTTGGGGGGGGGAGAGAGGTTGTTGGTGATGTTGAAGGGAATGCTAAATCAGGAATGAGGCTATGGATAATGGACGAAAAGCAACAGAGAGAAAAGGAAAAAAAAAAAGAAAGAAAGGGAAAGCAGCGACGATCAGAACCGATCGACAACACGGCCTTCGATGTGGAATGGCAAGGGAGGACACAGTCCGGGCCCAGCCGCGTCGGTAAAAGAGAGATAATGAAATGGCCCCAGATGGCGGAATGGAGCGATGGACCCAAGATGTGGAAGGGACAGAGTTCCCGCAGTCTTGTGACGCCTTACTCGAAACATGAGTGTTTCCCTTATTTAGCTAGCCATTTTTTGGTTAGTGCTAGGGTGCCGTCCCTCTTGGCCTGAGCACTACTAGTCCAAACATGGTTTAGGTGTTCTATTCTGGGCAGGCGCGACTCGTCAGGGTCCAAATCGAGCATTTAATGCGCACTATTCTTACTCAGTGTGCAAGGCTGAGCAGATAGATAGCAGTCGGGATAAAATGAATAAAATAGTACTCTGGAGTGGTGTTGCTATATACGTATACCAAGATAACCGCATTTTTGGTTTATCCAACACTATATAAAGTACCACCCGTTCCATATGCTACATGTCGTATATATGGACATACATCATCTTAAGTGTCAAGTGTAAAATTGAAGGATTTTGATTGGACTGGATCGTGATCAGAGGTCTATAGAAATTGTATACTTATTTTACATACAAGTATAATCAGTATGATGATGATAGGGTGTGTAAACCAATGTAACCTGCTTTGAGTCTATCAAGGTATGGCAAAAACACAGTCAGCTATGTACATTACGGAAATCAGGCGCTTTTAGATAACATTGGAAGACCACGAGACGGATGTTTGTGCTGGTAGCTCAAAAGGGCCTTCCGGAGATCTGGACCTTTGATCTAATTCAACCAAAGCACCCTTTTCCGGGCCCAGCTCATAGAAGGGCCCTCTTTCCGAGCCCATCTCATGTCTTTCTTGGCTTTGTAACTCGTTTACTTGGTTCCATATGTTATCGGGTGCCTCCACAGGCATCAACTGATGCGCCGAGGATCCGTGATCTGTGTATTCTGTCGTATGACTTTCGTCTGAAGTGGATGCTTTCTTTTGTTGTCGACGGTGATGGATGTAGATCCCAGAGAGAATAGCAATTAACGACAGCCCGCCAATAGTGCTGCCGACAATTATACCGATCTTGACAGCCACTGAGAAACCTTTCCCGTCAGTAGATGGACCGCTCATTGATGTACTTGTTGTATTTGCGTTCGTCGTATTTGCATTCGAGGTAGAACCTGCAGGTATTGCCTTCCAGGTGCTCTTCCAGGTGGCTTCCCAGCTGTTTGTTGTTGCCGAAATAGTGGAATCATTGTCACCGATTGACACGGTATCGACAATGAAGGAGCCTCCCGGTCCTGGTGCTTGGGCTAGAAACCACTTTCCACCAAGCCAATTGACTCCTATAAAAGCTGCTTGAAGGAAAGCACGTCCTAGAACAGGAGTGCTATTGGTAGCCATGCACGGGAAATATTGCGTTGGTGTCTTCACAAGTGGGGCCTCTAGTGTGAGATTCAGAAGAGCGAAGGGAACTTTAATCGTGATGAAGTCGTTGTTGAGGTTATCCTTGCTGAATTGGAAACCTAGGTAACCTGGCGAAGTTGCAATGGTATCGTACTGTGAGTCGGATGTGTTCCAAAAGTAAAGGCCGTAATCAGGGTGGTATGTCACAGGCAACTCAGCGGCTATTGCATCGCATGAGCTCTGAGGCAGATATATATATGGGTTTGCTGGGTCCACAATGACGCTGAGACCAGAGTCCAGGGAGGAATTACCCTGTGCTAATAACCCTGTTTTGTTCGTGTAATCCCAAGGCGACCCACCCTCTGCTACTCCGATATTCATGTCGAGCAGTTCAATTGGGAAGCTTCCACTTGAAAATGCCTGGGAGGACACCTCGCCCATCACTCTATTCTGATCATAGCCCCCTAAAAGCAGCGATCCAGGAATTCCTAGCGATGCGGAGCCAATATGCATACCGTAAGAATAAGATGGTATGTTTAGTGACCCCTCTTGCTCATAGAAATAGCTGGTGACAAACGTTGTGTTGATCTTGATCACATTTCCAAATGTCTGATTGATAGCTGGGCATCCAAGGGATAAGATCCCCACCTCCAGTGGGTATGCTTGCCCACCAGGATAAGTTTGCCACCCCGAATATATTATGATCATATCAACATCAGGTACGGGTGAGCCGCTGATGGTTATATAGTCTGTTGCTCGTCTTGCTTTTGCGTAAACAGGAGCTGCGTCCGTGAAACCCCAATCCACATCACCCCATGTCCCGTATGGAGGCATCTCTATCGATGTATTATCGAGGCTGGCTGATATGTCGCTGTCAAAGAGGCCAGCTATATTCCCATAACACACGGACGAGAGTGTTTTGTTGTCGCAAATTGAAGATAATAGGATCTTACTTTCCCAACTACCTCCCGGGTACAAAGCCACTTCCGAGGAAGGAACAACGATTTCGGTGTAGTTACTCCCAATTTGCACTGTGACCGCTTGCCAGGGGCCATCGGGCCCAAACTTCTTATTCGACCAGGGCATTACTCGGGGACCTGAGCAAAGAACATATTCGAGGCAGAGGGTCCAAAAGGCAAAAAAGCACCGCTGCTGTCGTCGCCGCATCCCTAAGGAAGAAAATCTGTTAGAAGACCCTGAGCCATGCTAAAAAACAAAGACATGTTTCTGAATGGCCTGACTCGACAGACTTCTCAGGACAGCGAAGTAGCCTACCGATGAATATTGAAGACTCTGGTGTAAACTGACTCAGTAACCAATTTAGTCGCCGCCGCCTCCAGGCTGAGCTGAGGTACCAAACACAGGTGAATAGGTGTTGATGTCGCAAATCTTAGGATGACTGCTAATAGTACTTATGGCATTCTGAAATTGCGCACATCTCAGATGAAAAGGTCAACTTGAGTCGTCAAAAGACGAATACGTGAATTGAGATTCAGGTTGGATAACTGTCAGCCAACTAGATTAAGTACAGGCCCATCTAAGCGCCCCTAATATGCCAGTTGTTATTCATAGCCGCACAAGTCCTTATATTTGGGTTGCATGAGAACCCACTGACCAGTGAACAATGGATGTGCATCTAGGTAGTACTAAGTACTAAGGTAGTGAAGGTGCAGGGACCACTGAGCCGGATGTATGGCATTCATTTGCGCTTAGTTTAATCTTATTACTGAGTCAGGCCGAAGTCGTAGGAGCACTATGCGATTGCTTACTCACATCGTGGATTGATGGTAAAGATGTGAATCGCTCCTACCTCAGCCAGTGTAAGTGTTGACTCTCAGCTGGATGTGCTTGGAGATGATGACAAGGCTGGGAATGAGCAAGGACCCTGAACCCTTAGTAGTTGGCTCCACCCAATGCATGTTAGCGCTGTGCTGGGCACGGGCCATCATTATCTCCAATCAGTAGATAGCTGCGGTGGGTTATAGCGTGCTTCAGATCATGCATGGGCAGCGCTTAGCCGCCCATTCGCAGCCACCCGCCGCTGTCTACCAGCCGAGGGGCTGCCTCGAGGCTGATGGGGTTTAATTTCGATAATTGCACCTTGCAACACTCTTTTATTCTCTTTGGCCTTCAAAAACAATGCACAAAACTCGAAGTAAGATTCTTGGGTAACTTACTCTCCAATTCTTGCCATCAGCTACCACAGAAAAATGTTCACAAGAACTCCGAAAGTCTTCCGCGCCTTTTTCTTAGTTGTGTCTACACTTCTGGGATTTGTGACATTGTTACGACTTCCAAAACATCCGGACGCTACGCGAATTTCCGAGTCTTATCACACCGGACTGTCTAGGGAGCGCATTGACTGGTCCCGCTTTGCATACACTCAATATGCCACAGACAGGTCTTATCTCTGCAATTCAGTCATGATCTTCGAGGCCCTTCACCGTCTCGGTACAAAAGCCGATCTTTTGCTGATGTACCCCTCCAAGTTTTTCGCGTCTGAGAACGATAGTTCAATTGAAGCACGTTTAATTCGTTTTGCAAGAGATAATTATAACGTGAAGCTTCGGCCGATCGAGGTAATCATGAAGGGAGGAGGAGGAGGTAAGTCAATTCTTTGCGCTGCAAGACTAAATACTAACTATGAGCGCAGCACCATGGTCAACGAGCTATACGAAGCTCCTCGCTTTCAATCAAACAGATTACGACAGAGTTCTCAACTTAGACTCTGACGCCACCCTGCTGCAGGTTTGTAGCCCAGTCATGGCGTTTCTCATCGCAACTAACACACACGCAGACGATGGACGAGCTGTTCCTACTCCCACCAGCTCCAGTCGCCATGCCACTGGCCTACTGGTTTTATCCGGAAGAACGAGTATTCACATCCGGGCTTATGCTCATTCAACCATCCACAGATGAATTCAATCGCGTGTTGGAAGAGATATGGGACAATCCTTCTGAAGAATACGACATGGAGATTATGAACAAGTTATACGAAGATAATACTCTCGTTATACCGCACCGCCCTTACATGCTTTTGACGGGAGAATTCCGCGCCAAGAACCATGAGGCCTATCTGGGAAATACATATGAACCGTGGGATGCTGAAAAAGTTCTAAGAACAGCTAAATATCTCCATTTCTCTGACTGGCCAGTTCCCAAGGTACGTTAACAACAAAGATTTGGTACCCTACAGACCCCTTGAGACTCTGCTAAGTCTGGCGCTAGCCATGGGTTGCCGCTACTCAACATGTGATCGAGCAAACCCAGCCTCCTTGCGAGGTCAACCCTGCTACTGGTCAGCGAGATGACTGCCATGTCCGAGAGATCTGGCTAGGGATGTACAAGGAATTTATGACTAGACGACAGGTACTTCCAATTTCTCCTGGCTTCAATTCAATTCTCGCTGAGGATACTAACGTGAACAGAGCGTATGTGGCGTTGCTATACAAGACCAGGATGCTCAATAACAGGTCGATCCTCCTTTGACATCATCTTATGATGGATGTGAAGAACATAACACTGATTTCTGAACGCTGGACGTTCTCGTGTAAAACATGTTTTACTTTTCTTTTCTACCTATTCTCTCTCTCTCTCTCTCCATAAGCCATCAGAGTCAAATTTTGTTCAGCATTCACGTTCGAGCTCTACTTTCGAAAACCTTTTCAGAGATTTGGTTTATTTTCCGCGACTTATTATGATAGGTACAATTGTTATAATCATCTTATAAGTTCTAATTAGATTTAGAATAACACTCTGTCAAACAGTGGTTGTGGTGCCAGTGTTATTAGGACTTATCTGTATATTACTTAGACTTAGAACAGGAATTATCTATGGTAGTTAGTAAGTAGAATATTCTTTAATAAGAACCTGATCATGCTAGAATAAAGGAAAATTATAATACTGGAGGGTGCGGATGATCAGGGGTTATCAGGAAAGTTTAGGTAAGTTATGACTTTGAGCACCTCAGGACGCGCGGTCATATTAATGATTGATTCTTAATATCAGTTTATGCTGTTTTATCGCCCATGGTTCCTCCACGCCTGAATGTTCCTATTATGTGAGAGATAGGATAGGGGATTTTTTACCGCATATATTAGACCTTTACGATATTCTGCAAAGGAGATAATCGGATCGGAAAATTCGGGCAGATGCTTCAGTGGTACATTGATACTGTATTTCTTGTAATTGAACTATTCTAGGCTTTGCTTATATTCAGTCTAGCTGTTATCAACATCTTCTAGCTGCCACTTATATCCAATATCAAACCATCTTGTCCTCCCAGCCAGAACATCCTCCTGCCTTGCTCGAACTTGACTGCCATGTCTGGATATGGTACCAAATTACTCACATCCCAGCCCATCTTGTAGTCTCTACTCCAATTATGCTATCTTCAAAGACCAAACACTCATTGGGCGAGATGAGGCTTTCACCAAAATCTGTAGCTGGGTTTAACGCCTGCAATGCGACCAAGAAAATGTCAGGAGCCGGCTTCCCTCGACCCTGTCACACTCGTGGGTCATCACCTGAGACCCGCCTGTCAGACTGTCAAAAGCCAAGCAGGGCTCGAGGTTTTCAACTTGTAGCTATAACTCTTGGTGCCAGGTGCTAGTGCCATCTGTATCTTGGTCCCTGAAGAAGCGCTACTCGTCAATGTCTCCGCGTCATTAGCGATATTGCTCGTGAAACTCCATCTCCCGTTGGCGCTTCTGCACCATTTCAATCGTCTTGGAATCGTATACGTCCTCCAGCCGTTTACCACCCAGAAGCACTTCCTTTTCATGCCGTACAGCTTCATCCTTAGTCATACACACTAAATCCTTCAACTCAAGCGGCACAAATGTCTGCCCCTGCTTCATCCACTCCGGATCAGGTCCGAATCCTCTCTCAGGCCGCTCCCAGGGAACAAGACTGACTCGACTGGGGAGGCCACTGACCACGCTCTTGCCGCGGAAGATCTCATCGACCAGATATCCGACGTCATCCTTGCTGATGGGAAGGCGAAGCCCGACAAGGCTAGGGCCATGCTCCGCCCGGGCCAAGCGCTCGAGCGTTCCCTGCAAGGCTGCCAAGACACCATCGTACAACTTATCACGACCCTTTCCACCCACGCTGTAGTCCATCGGATAGCCGGAAATGTCGCAAATGACGTGGTTCGCCACAGTGTAGCCAAACACTGCAGGCATTGTTCCCAGCACAGGGAGGATCCGCGCCCGAAAATCGGGCAATACACTCAGTTCACCAACTTCTCCTTTGCTGAATTCTGCCTCGTTGAGTGGAAGCAGAGTGGCTTTACCAGGACCGGGCTTTTCAGTGGAGAAAACAACAGGGATACCGGTATTGACGCCTAACAACTTGAGGCGTCGACGAGTGCTCCGCGACAGCGGATCATCCGTACTAAGTGAGATATCACCAACCGTAACACGGGTAGGGTCTGACTTGCATCCTGCTCCCATTGCCGAAATCACGGGAATGGAGTGCGAGTGGCAGTAATGAAGCAGCTCCACCTTGGACGTAATGTTATCAATGCAGTCAAGTACATAGTCAGGCTTGTGTCCTTTGTCGTTGTCGTCCCAACTCCAAGGCGCAAGAAGTCTGTCGGCGACTGATCCCCCGAATAGTTCGTTCCGGCAGTCAAACTTCACCCACGGTGTGATCTGCTCCAGTCTTTTGCGGATACAATGCACCTTCGGCGTTCCGACGTCGGCCAGCGTCGCGAGAGCATGTCGGTTTAAGGAGGAAAGCGTGACCTGATCAAAATCGATCAGGCGGATTTTGGAAACACCCGAGCGGGCAAGGGATGCCACAGCATGCGACCCGACTCCTCCACATCCGACAACGATTATGTATGACGAGCGGAGCTTCGCGAGGCCTTCATCGGACAGGAAAACACGGTTTCGAGCAAGTTGTTCGAGTATGAGTTCTAGACGGAAATTCAATTAGCCAAATAACATAGCGACAATTGTAGGGGAGTATTCCAAGCAAGAGCCAATACCATCATCGTAGTCTCCTTCCTGCGCTCTCCGAGCGAGGAGCGCACTGCGTTCATCTTCCTTGCTCAGCTGCGCTGCAGCCGCGACACCGTATTCTGTGAGCTTCGCGAAAGTTAGACAGATTTAATATATTATAACGCGAAGAACCTAGGATACCTTTTCAACATGGTGTTGGTCATTGACATCTGGGATGGATGCCTTGAGGCGCTGCACCGCATCCTTTCTTTTGAAAGCCTGGTAGCCAAGTATCGCACCAGCGACCGCAGCTCCCGAAATCACTGCTGTAGCCGCAAGCTGTGTCTGATGAGATCCACTCTGGCGTTGGATCCAGGATGCCATTCTTTCTTATATATCTTATTATACTGTATGCGCGACCTTATCCATATGCGATCCGATTTTGACTGTGGCGATGCTGTCTAAATTGTTGCAGCGATCTATCACAACTCAAACGGTTATTCATGTTGATGAAAAAGAAGACGTAAGAGGGAGCCCAATGAAAATTTTTGACCAGCAATAACTCACCATAAGGAGTTCCCCAAGCAGAGGCAGACGGGGCTGAATTATCAATTACGTATTTCCCATCGCAGTTGAGCTCAAGTGGCACCTCTAATGCGGGTCACGTGTATTACAACACCACGCGTTGTTCCCGCGAAGCAGCACACAACATGTATATAGGGAAGGCGTATCGTAAACGTTCGGGGATAGCCTTGCTTTGCTCAACTCACTTTCATATTACATTTCCCTCAGGTTGGAATAATGGCCATATCTTTTGATATGGATAAGAATTTTATTCATTATATCCCACACCACTAAACGCCAATGATGACATGAGATATCTAACACTTCACTTTGAGATTTCCTACCATTCGTATATGAGGTATCTTGGCTTCCGCTGTAGATTTAGTTGTGTGTAGCTGCGGCAATGATCTTCCTGCGCCCCAGCATGCTTTTTTTTTTTCGGGGATTCAAGTGAGTTTGAGGGATGGCAGCATTTAGGGTCATATTCTTTGCTTTGAGCGACACTTACTTAGCGGACTCGACCAGGTATAAGAATAAAGACTGATACCAATTGAATTGATTCGATTATGACGTGACCGTCATATAAGAAGTACTAGGCGTCAACCGCGATGACAGGTCACAGGGGTTGACGATGCCCAGTGCTACGGCACAAGCAGCGGTCATTGGAGATACTTATTATGTCCATTCACTTATCGTACAATCCATCGACGCCAATGTGCAGTCAAAATTATCCATGTTGTCTATATACAATCTGCGAAACCCGTAACCACATCCGAAACACCATGCCAAATACACACTGAGATCAACTAGCAGGAGGGACTGAAACACCTTCTGGTGCCGCCTCCAGAGGACCCTGGGGTTTCTCCCGAGGCGGCCAGTTTGGCGCCGGATAGCTGAGCAATTTACACACGTCCTGTCGACCACCATTAGCAACGAGAACACACCAACCAGACAGGAGAGATGAACAAACCCTTCGTTTCCGCCGGAAATCATCGTAGAGCTTCTTCCAAATCTCACGATCCTTGCACCCACTCTCATGCATCGTGCCCGGCTTGACCTTACACTTGGGCAGCATATCGGCCAACAATTCCTGCGGCCACATCACCCACGGCTTGGGCAGCGGCCAGTCGGAGAAATGGACCAGCTTCGCTTCCGCTAGTACCTTTTCCGGATCCCATTCTTCATGCTCGTTACCCAGGAACGCCCGGTGGTCGTCTTTGCGAAACTCGCCGGTGACTAGTCCGTACTGTCGGTGCGGCAGAACCAAGGCCGAATCCGCGTACCGTTCGTTCATCAGTTCCATATCGTACCTGACTCGCGAGCTGACGTTCGAGTCGACCTGTCCGTACGAAATGGCCTGAGCCTTATCCATCAACGCATACCACTCTTTGTAGGACGGTTGGAGCACAATCAAGAGAGACGAGAGCTGCTTGATATCGGGCAGTTCCCAGTAGGCGCGGGGCATAGCGACTTGAGAGGGCGGGAGGAAGAACAATTCGTCCATGTTCTGTAGAACGCTGACGTCGGAATCGATGTGAATTACACGTTCGAATTCGGTCTCTCCGAAGGCAAGAAGCTTTGAGATGCTCTTGTCCCAGGACTCGCTTGGTCCTATTCTTCCTGCATTAGCTCCTGACGCCGTTGACAACTCGAACCGTTGTAATGAGTGGCCTACCCGATCCAGCCTTAACCATCTGAACATCAATCGGCACCAACAGCACATTGTATTTCTCCTGGGCCATCGCCAGCAGCTGGCTGTCCCGGTCGCGATCGTCATCTACTAGCACGTCCCAGTTCTCGGGGTAGAAGAGCACCCGCTGCGCTCGGCTGCCAAGCCGTTGCAGAGTATCGAAGACGATAAGCGCATTGCACAGGTATGGGCTCGACGTCGCATACTGGCTGTAGGCGTAGAGCGACCAATCGACTCGGTCGTAATCAATATGAGGAAGGGGCGGAGGCGGAGGTTTCTCTCGACGCAGCAATAGGACAAACAGCACGAAGACGAAGATGGCGAGCCAGGCCCGCGGACTCTTAAGATAGCGGAGCTGGCGCTTGATGATGGACCAGCAGGGCTCTTCGGGAATGTCGAAGAAGTCGGCTTCGGAGGCGTCTGAGCCCCGGCGGTAGGGTAGGACGGGGCCTTTCTTGCCTGCCATGTTGAGTTGAAGTAGATCAATTGAAGGGAAGGGACATCTTTAGATGATGGTTGACGCGTATCCTCCTCGTCGATCACTCCTACTCCGCCATCTTCAGGGAGGCAATCGCCGCCATGATCTGGAGTGATAACTAGTTAGTTGTGCTGGTTGTGCGGGCTTTGTCAGCTATCCTGCGGATAAAAATAACGCCCAATTAGATCCGGTCGGTTCCAGTCCACTTAAGAGAGTACTAAAGTACTGTGCACTCAGGTGCAACGCCGTTGGATCACCAAAAGGTACGTACTACTAGTATTAGTATCATTACAGTCTACCAGTAGTGAAGCTGAAGATTCAGTAACCGCTTCTAGCAAGGTCTCAAATAAATCAGTTCAGGTGTACTCCGTACAAACAGTATCTACTTATCGCATTCACCATGTTATCGGCGCGTGTCTTTCTCCGTTGCCCCGTAGTTTAGTCAGCACATGCGTATTGTTCTCGAAGAACAGAGATAAAAAAGAGAAATAAAGCATAAGCTAACTGCTAGTGTGACGTAGTTGGATTTGCACTGAAATCTTCCTGCTAATTCACTTATCATTCGCTTGGCGTAGCACGACCCTTTTGGCGCAATTTAGCTGGGTACTCGCGACACCCGCCGAGAGATCACTCTGGGGGACTAAACCTCTCCACCCACTTCAGTCCGTCTGCCTGTTTTCCCGTCGCCAGTATGGAGCTTTCCCGCATTATCCTCGCCATCGTCGTCTACTTTGGTAAGCCATACGGACAGTGCCATTCATCTGCCTGCTTACTGACGCCGTACAGTCCTCCGTTTCATCCGTACTCGCTTCTTCGGCAACAACAACAACAACACCACCGGATCCACCATGTCGCACGGAAAGGTTATCGAGGTTGACAAGTGAGTCGTCTTCCTAACTTCCCCTCCGCAGATAGTAAATTGGGCACTGACCGGTCCAGCCCCGTCATCTTCAAGGCGCTCACCTCCAACGGTCCTGTGGTCGTGGACTTCTTCGCAACCTGGTGCGGTCCGTGCAAGGCCGTTGCGCCAGTGGTCGGCAAGCTCAGCGAAACCTACACCAATGTGCGCTTCATCCAGGTCGACGTCGATAAGGTCCGCTCGGTGGCGCAGGAACTGGAGGTGCGCGCTATGCCCACGTTTGTCCTGTACAAGGATGGTCAGCTGCAGGAGAAGCGCGTCGTGGGTGGAAACATGAAGGAGCTGGAGGCAGCCATCAAGGAAATTACGGCATAAGAGGGTAGTAATAAAGGAGGGATAGCCGAGCCCGCAGAAATGGAAAGAGAGAAAGTAAAATACAAGCCCAAGTCCATGTGATGATGGTGGACTCAGTGATGTACCCTTGTCTGTGCATTCAGGACTATCGTGTTCCCTAATAGCGGGAAGATAGCTGCGGACCAACTAGCCACACGCAAAGCCTCCAAACATCCAATATTTGCATCTACCATCTGTTCATTTGCTGTTAAGGCTGCTGTTAAGGCTACAAGGGATCGGAGCCGTCGGCTGGCAGCTAAATAAAAGGCGGAATATCTTCGACAGGACCTGATTGACGCGGAAAGTGACGCGAAATATGACTGCGGGGCACGACGCTAGTATATTTCAATACGATAGAATGTGTAGTTGTATATATAGCCGCAGCGAGGACTGCTCCTATATCCGCTCCAACATGCATAGTTAATTAGTTGATCCATGGATTTACGGCGAAGCTTTTAGGACGAGGGGGTTGACGGCGTTGAGGGTCATATCATTATTGCTTCAGACGGTGAGGCACCGGCATAACTTAGCATCTTACATAGCGGGCTCGAACAAATATAAGGATAAGAGTTGAACTAAATTGGAAGAAAGCCTTTGCCCGCGGGTATCATCGTCAATCAAATCAATCAAGCCAGAAACCAAAAAGAAATCCTCAAACTGAACCTAACCAATCAATCGACTCCTGCCCGGAATTAATCAATCGCTCCCATTTCGCCAACAAAACCTTAGAATCACAATGATACTCTAATTGAAAATGAACAGAGACCACACCATCAACGATCTATGAATGGGGTTAAAAGTAGCAGTTCGTCTTAGAATGAGACGTCGCCAACAATCACTCCGAATTTCACATCACTGTCCGCACATACTGAACGGGCAAAAGTAACCATCATGACCCCGCTCTTTCACAACAGAAAACTCAGCTCGTCCTCGCTGTCATCGTCCGAGCATGGAATGACCCGCTCGACTGGGGGAGGTCGCGTACGAGTGGAGCGTCGAGGGCCTTGCACCTCCGATGGGCTAGGAATCTGTGGTGGTGGTTGTTGTGGTTGTTTTCGTGCCGTTCTGGGGGTGCGATTCAGCGACCTCACCGATACGGGCTGGTTGACGATAACCACCTCGATGAGGGGAGTCAATTTGATAGGGTCCGCGCGGGAGATGCTGGGTGTAGTCGGGCCTGGTTGTAGTCTCGTTTTCTTCAAAGTGCTGTTCTTGGCCTGGGGTAAATCGCGAAGGGCCGTTCGTGCCCGGGTGGCATTCGGTGCAGAATCTGGCTCGAGGGAGCGAGCCGCAGCAAGGCGCTCACGTGTCGCTGGCAAAGCGCCAGACGTGACTGGAGCTGCAGTCATCCTCCTCGAACTTGACCGAAGTCTCTTGGGTGACGGTGGCCTCCAATCATTCGTCCCGCGTCCTCGTTTCCCGCTCATCGATGGCGCAGATGATGTCACGCTGGATGCAGCCTCCTCCGAAAGTTCAGGGCTGGGCGATCTGCTACTGGTTGAGCAGGAGAGCGCCGATGGTCTCCGCTTAGCTGTCGCAGCAAGAGGGCTTGAAGCGCCATCCGCATTACGGGAAGCCAGAGGTTTGGCGACCGGCGTGCTGGATACCCATTCCCCAATGCTTTCTTCCCATCGGTACAGGTGAATCACATCGTTTTGTGGCACATGTGCCAATGCGGCAGATTTGTGGAGATTCCCTTCTTGCTGGGATGAAGCGGCTTGTTCTTGAATTTCGAGAGCCCACGCGTGGTCATCCACATCCAATGTAACCTCCGCCAACGCCATTGCTGTTTCCGCAGCTACCTTAGCGAGGAGCAGAGAAATGCCCTTCATACTCGTCAGCCGCGCAAGCCGCCATACGATAGCTCGAATTTTTCGAGGTGTCCTCGCAGGATCATCTTCGCGCGCATGTCCACAGCATCGAAACAGTTGCTGGACAAACTCTGCTAGCTGTTTGACTGCATCCTGTTGGTGTATCAACGCTAGACAAAGCGACTCTAGATTTTCTGGCGAGATGGCGCCGGACTGGCTAATGACCTCAGGCGTGGAACTTTCAGTGCACTGCAGCGTCCACTCACCCAACAAGACGTATCCCCGACGCAGGGATTGGAAGCTTGGACCCTCCATCTCGCGCCGCGACAGCACCAATCCAACTGCCCGTTGTACCCCAAAAGACAGCGTTCCGACAATATGTCTGACTTTTGTGCCTGTTATCTTGTCATTGGCACCGGAGGCTTGCGTCCGTGCCATATACATGCCGCACAGTGCGGTAACTAGACTCGCTGAAAGATTGCTGAGTGCATCTTGGATGGGAACAGGACACGGAGATTGATCTTTAGGCACGCTTGTAGGATTCGTTACCGATGCGCGGGTGTCCTTAAGACGTACAGAACGAGGTACCTTTCTCCCCTTGTTCCGAGCTACCAGCGAATCCGTGCCGGGATATATACCAGCAGATGAAAGGATGATAGCCTCGATAGTCCGGGTCGCAGCAGCTGAATCTCCGTCGCCAATTGATAGTGACCGAATAGCCCCATCCACGCACTTTTTCCATCTTGTAGTGACCATCCACTCTGGCGGAAGAGCCCTACGAGACAGGAGCTTTGTCATCTCATCAAAAACAAAGGATCTTCGTTCGGGGGCCTTCGAGTAGTAACTGCGCAATATGTAGATAGGGTTATCGCAGTGGCCCACGGGTTTCGAAGGATCAAAAGCTGTTGGGTAGTCGTGAGTCTTGATGGTCGTAAGATATTGTGACATAAGTGTTTCGAAGGCATCCAACTCCCCGTGCTCAAGACATTCCCCTAGCAGGCGACAGACCGCCAAACTGGGTATCCATTCTCTCATCATCATCTCAGAGATCAGGTGGATGCCTTGCGCACGCACAGCTTCACGGAGCGGCTGCCACCCACCGCCGCCAGGAGCATATTGAGCTTCGAGTTCAGTAAAGTATGCATCACACATGTCAACGTCCTCATCCGGCTCCACCTGATCCTGCAGGCGCTGCTCCTCGGCGATGAACCCCGGCAGCCGTCGCGCAGCCGTAGATAGTAACGATCGGGCCCCGCGATTTTCCTCGTCATGCTTGTGTATTGTCGGAGCAGGTCTAGTATTCTCCAAAAACTTGATAAGCATGCGATCCAAGAATCGCGCAATATCCACCAAGCCCGGGTCTCCAGAAAGATCCAAAACTTCCTTCCATGAGCCCTGGTATGCCGGAAAACTGGGATTATTGGTCCGCGACTGCCTGTTGGCCCCGACAGCGCTCAAGGGTGGTCCCGAATTCCGAAAAAGCCGTTTGCGAATAGACAAGGTCGCCTCCGTGGGTCCTGGTATAGTTCCTGTGATCAATGGGGTAGCGATTTCGATAGCGCCAGGCAGCGTCCTCTGCACTTCCGGGCTCTTGATCAACAGTCGACTACGTCTCCGTGCGCCATTCCTCTGTCCGCGATTCGAGTAATTATGCCTGGGCCGGCGATTTCCCCGGTTTCCTGGGATCCATGCTGGATCGTCGGGTTCCTCGTCTGAAAGATTGCAGCCTGGTTCGTTACCGGTTCTCTTGTTGTTTAGCGGGGCTCGCGAACGGTGGGAATCGGGCTTGACTTTCGATTTCGTGTCTGCTATGCTGTTGCGAATCTCGTAGTGTTTCTGGAGTCGGTGGTGGATGGATTTCAAGGGGCGCAACATGCGATTCGCCCATTTCGCGGTCGGCCGGATATCCTCCATGTTGCGCCAATTGCGTCGCGGATTGGCGTTGGTACTCGCAGGACGTCCCACGCCCGTAATGGGGAGGGATTCCAAAGAAAGCGCTTCAGAATTGGGCTTGTCGTGGTTATTGATGTCTCATGAATGATCGATGTCATCGGGAGTCGCGAGCCAAACACTGCGATGTAACCAAAAGTACTACCGAAAGAATGCGTAGAGACGACACCTAGTTAATCCCGGATCCAATAGAACTGCAAACAATTAAGATATACAGTTATGCACAGCCTCGTGGACCCAGAACTAGTTCCAACAACCGAGCTAAGGTAAGTAAATGTGAAAGTAAGATGTTAGAAGTTCACCAACAGAAACCCAGAGGGCGGAATCGCGCAGGTACGCGGTGCTTGCCGCCTGGACTCCGTATGGCCCATTGCATAATGACGGGGCGGGTGACCGCCTACCATCTTCAGTGGGCTCCGAAAAGTAAGTAACTAGGTACCTTGAGTCAATGGTCACGTGGAGAATCAGGCCCACAAGGCGCTGGAATCCGGAGTATAGTAAGCAATGGAACAAACAAACAAACAAACATCATTCCACGTCGTTCAGATTAGACTCAATAATGATTACAAAGTACCCCGTAGTAACTAACTAGTTACCTGCGGCAACTATGTCAACTAGAACAAGATAGCTTCGCATCATTCCTGTTCATGCATGCATTCCCCCGTTTCATGGTATCTCCCTGCATCCAGCCACCGCTGATCCTTATCCTCTTTGCTTCTTTAACCCCAAGCTCCCCCACCATGATTCTCCGCACTCTTCATCCGCCCTCGCTCTGAGTGTCGACACTAATTCTCCGCCATGCTGCTTGATCATCTCTGGCTGGCGTGCCTCACGTTGCTCGTGGCTGGGGCCGCTGCCGTCAAGGTCAATCCCTTACCAGCTCCACGAAGCATCACTTGGGCTTCGTCGGGTCCTAAGCAGCTGGCCGACTTCGTTAGTCTCCGTACCTCCCGGGACACTTCCGATTTCATTCTGGCCAATGGATGGAATCGTGCCTGGAGTTCTATCGTCTCCCTACAATGGGTACCTGCAGCAACCGAAGGTCCCGTGCCGTCTTATCAACCCTTCCCCACCGGTACTGCCGGGGCTACTAAAAGGTCCCCGCAGGCACTGCCATCGCTCCAATTTGTTGATTTGAACGTGTTGGATGTTGCCGCAGATCTTCAGCATGGGGTAGATGAGTCTTACACCCTGGAGGTCACCGAGAGCTCTACCTCGGTGGTCATTGAGGCTCCCACCGTCTGGGGGGCGCTCCATGCCTTTACCACTCTCCAGCAGCTGGTCATCTCCGACGGACAGGGTGGTTTGATCATCGAACAGCCAGTTAAGATTCAGGATGCACCTCTCTATCCTTACCGGGGTATTATGCTTGACACTGGTCGAAACTTTATTTCGGTCAACAAGATATACGAGCAGCTGGACGGCATGTCTCTTTCTAAACTAAATATTCTACACTGGCACATGGAAGACACCCAATCGTGGCCCGTGGAAATTGACGCCTATCCGGAAATGATTCATGACGCCTACTCTCCTCGCGAAGTATATTCGCATGCTGATATGCGCAATGTCGTGGCCTACGCGCGAGCGCGTGGTGTACGGGTCATCCCGGAGATTGATATGCCCAGCCATTCCGCCTCTGGGTGGAAGCAGGTCGACCCCCAGATGGTAACCTGCGTGGACTCCTGGTGGTCCAATGATAATTATGCCCTGCATACCGCGGTAGAGCCCCCGCCCGGCCATATGGATATCATTTACAACGGCACGTATGATATAGTCCGACAGGTCTATAATGAGCTGTCTGAAATCTTCCCAGACAACTGGTTCCATGTTGGGGCAGATGAGATCCAGCCGAACTGTTTCAACTTCAGCAGCTACGTCACTGAGTGGTTTGCGCAGGATCCGTCGCGAACTTATAATGACCTAGCCCAGTACTGGATTGACCATGCTGTGCCGATCTTCCAGAACTACAGTACCTCACGGCGACTGGTCATGTGGGAAGACATTGTACTATCCACAGAACATGCACATGATGTTCCCACGAATATCGTGATGCAAAACTGGAATAATGGCCTGGACTATATCAATCAACTGACTGCCAAGGGCTACGACGTGATTGTATCATCAGCGGATTTTATGTATCTGGACTGTGGGATAGGAGGTTTTCTCACAAGTGACCCTCGCTATGATGTAATGAGTAATCCCGATGCAAGCACTCCCAACTTTAACTATGGTGGCAACGGGGGCTCGTGGTGTGCGCCGTACAAGACATGGCAGCGGATCTATGACTACGACTTCACACAGAATCTGACCGCTACCCAGGCTCAACACATTATAGGCGCAGAGGCACCGCTCTGGTCAGAGCAAGTGGATGATGTGACGGTATCCAGTCTAATTTGGCCGCGTGCCGCTGCGCTGGCGGAGCTGGTGTGGTCTGGGAATCGTGAGAACGGGCAGAAGCGCACGACGCTGATGACCCAGCGCATCCTGAACTTCCGCGAGTATCTAGTGGCCAACGGGGTGCAGGCGACAGCCCTGGTACCAAAGTATTGTGTGCAGCATCCGCATGCCTGCGACCTGTACCTCAACCAGAGTGTGATTCAGTAAATCGGGGCTGGGAAGAGCAGCTGGCAGCGTAGCATCTAAGATGACATATGGGATCGATGTGTAAATGATATAAGTTGCAGGCGATCTGATTTAAGTACTATACCTGTCAGTAAACCACAATATACAATCTATATATAATCATTAAGTCAGTACTCATGGCTAGTTGAAATGTAGTACGCATAGTACAATAAGCTTGCATGAAGTCAGCCAGGGCTATGGACGATGAAGTCTTTGTAATAAAATCCCAGAAACTGAACCTGGACTCTCTTCTTCATGGTTATCCTCAGAATTTCAAAAGGCACACTTGTGAATGGGCCTGGTCACATGACCCGAGGTCACCGCATCGTCGTCCTAACTCCTCAACACTTCCCTCTTGCATGTTATCGAGCCATCCGGTAGCCCTCATAGCTGAAAGTAACAAACGGCGCGTCTGACAGTGGTGGAAGGCACAGCGAGGGTGGGAATGGAGTTCATTACTGCTTCTTTGGACTACAGTGGGAACCGGTGGAACCCCTTAGTGTGATCGACATCGGAATAACACCCGTCTGCAACCATTTCATAACAACAGGAGAACCTTATTTCAACATCACGGGTATTCTCACTATCTTGTTGAGGGACAAACCTTACCGTGACAACACAACAAGTTCGAGGTCGGCGGGATAATCACGTCTGCTCACAAACAATCAGCCCAATGGCGCAATCTGTTGAGTTGACTCACGCAACACCCACCCACATCCCCTCAATCGCCGAACCTCTAGCACCTTACATCAAAAGCCGCCAGGATGCCCTGCTGATTCGGCAAGCTTTGACCATATATCTTCGCTCGCATATCGAGTTCGCAGGGAATAATACCGAGCACCCAGAATGCCACAGTCAATCCCATCTGTCATTATCAGTGCCCCACGACGCGGTGGTCGATGTCAAGCGGCTTCCATCAGAGTTGACAGGGTTGCGAAGACAGTACCTGGAAGCGCTCCAGTCGAATGTGGCTGCGAGGAAGGATTATCAGTCAGTTGTGGAGAAGGTGACTTCTGTGGGCCGTGAAAGGAGCAAACCACGGGCGGAAAAGTTATCAGTGGATTCGTCCGCGGAGTTACAGGAATATCTGCGGCTTCTTCGTGACCGTCGTCGGCATGCGAAGCTTCAGGTTTTCGAACACTACACCAAAGAGCTCAAACAACGTGATACGCCCAAACCAGCGGATATAGAGGATAGCGGAATTCATTATCAGCAGCTTGCGCCACCACCAGAGATTGAAGTTACCCGACATGGCTCTACCACCGGGCTTACCGTCGAAGAACAGATGCATAACCTGGAAAAAGCCGTTATCCGGGCCAAAGCTCAGCTGGAGAGAGAGAAAGGGTTGTTAGAAGAACTTCAGGCGCAACAAGCGCCCGTAGAGGCCCAAGATATTCCACGCCCAGTTAAGGGCGTGGCGTTACAGCGGACTCGTAATGAGTTGGTGCGTTGGGTGGAGGAGAAATTAGTAAGTGCTGGAAACAATGAGAACCGTTCGGCCTCCCGAGACTTTCATACCGAAGACATGGATGAGTCTGTGCGTCTGCTTGGGGAGAAGAAAGCACAGATCGCACAACAATACGCTGCATATGCAGATGCTCGCAAGCGTCTGCTCGATGCGGCCTCCAGAGCTTGCCAACCAGTTACTCTCCCGGCTGGAAAGCCCTCATCCCGGCCTACTAGCTTGGTGCAAGGAAAGAATGCATCAGGTGAAACACAATCTCTGGATGAATTGGGAGTCCTTGCTTTTGCTAGCGATGTCCTTCAGCCGTTGGCCAGGAGCCAGCGCGCATTGGCACTACAGAAATTCTACCTATCGGGTATGCTTGCGAAGGAAAAAGCCACCACTCTTCGCATTCTGAACAGGCTGCGAGATGAAAGCCACCTTCTCCCAGAGTACCCGATTCTGGCACGCCAGCCACGGTTCAAACATGCGACAGCAACTCTAGCTTCGCACCAGGCCACGAGTACAGAGTCTGCCAAGCCAGACCAACTCGTTGACCTGGCCGAGGCATGGGCATCTGCCTCAGATGCAGCAGGCATGACTGAACAAGAATACGTCGGGTGCCTACTGGAGGAAGGGATAGAGACAGCGCAGGATGCGCAACAGGCGCTGGAAGATGTTTATAGTATACTTAACCAGGACCTGAAGGATACCTTACGTGACCGGCAGGACGAATCGGGCGAGGACAGTATGTGGCCGTCGGGGGCACGATTGACTCGGTCACGGGCCAAAATGCAGCAGAGCCAACAGCCAGCGAAGGGACCATGGAGTGGACTCCATGGTCAAGTGGCTGTTGGAAGATGATCTCTATGATGGCGAGCAGCTACTGTTGTTACATGAGGTTATTTTTTCTTGTCTTGATAATACTTGTAGATCGCTTGTCTCCTGTGATAGCGTCCCGTTCATGCCACATCCTGTCCTTGCACGCTAGAAATATTCGAGGATAGCACCGAAATAACTTGTTCATCTAACGACTGTTCCAAGCGTCTTGTGACGGAGGGATGATCGTCTGATGGTCAAGATAAGATTTCACTGTGAAGAGGCGTTTCCACCCAGGAAACAAAATTCCTTTCAGACAAAAGCCGTGCTACCCGGGAGAGAAGATGACAGTCCAATTCAGTATGACCTCTGATACGCAGTCTTTTGAACGCAGGAAGGAAGTAAGAGTCTTAAAAGGTAGTAGGGTAGTGAGCTATGAACGATGCAGAAATGAGATTTATGCCGCTTCAACGATAAAATAGACCGGTCTTATACCGGTACACTGCTAGCCAATTGTCTTTTTCTCCCTGCAGCATGCGCTTGTCCGTGTGTTGGGGCATGGATCGAGGCATTTGACGACGTTCAGGTAGATGTTGAGGTAGTGATAAAGACCTCTTCGCGCCCGTTTCACTGCGCGATCTAGATAGCCAATACAGCCCACTTTGGCTGCATTATTTTGCATCCCTTTGCTTGCTCCCCGCTGGAGAGCGTGCCTGAACAGTAGATGATCAGAATTGTTGTGTACGGCCGGGCCGGGGTCACTTCACACACAATCATGCTGCTTATAAGTTCGGGGGTGCTGAAGACCAGGTTTATTATAGTCTGCTATCCTACTCACTTCCAGGTGATGGTGTCTGGTTCTAGCTAGCCATAAATCTAAGTTAGCATCGTCTGCAAGGGTCAGTAAAAAGTCTGCCTCTGGGTCTGACTCGGCGATTTTGCCGCGCCACGCGGGGTGGTGCAAGTTGAAGTCGCTGAGCACGAGCCAATCTATCCTTTTGTTTGGTCTTTCGCTGTCTGAAGGAGTCAAGCTTGTCAGGGTGCTCATGATCGATGTGAGCGCCTATTTCGGAGCGAAACAGCAAGCAAAATCAGCAAAATCTGATGCTTTGAAGCAACGGGCAGATATAGATCAGGATACGCCTACAGTGCCTGCAAAAAGGCGTTGTATTCCTGCAATCACTACACCAGTTCCTACACCTGTTCTAACGCGTGAGCCGCTTAGCCAAGCACCTAGTCTGCCACATAGTCCACCTATACAGGCATCCTATACATCTGCTCCCGCCGGCCTCTATGCACAGCGAGAGATTGATGTTGAAGGAAGACCTCGAATGGCACCTTTCGTGCTTATCCCTACACCTGCGTACAGCGTTCCTACCTATACAGGTCCGATCCCTTCTGGATCCCAATACAACGACCGAGCAAGCAGTTGGTGGCGCTACGAAGATGGCCTCTTTCGATTAGAAATGGCCCATATGCAGCATCCCGCTCAGGGACTCTTAATCTCTAATATTATTCCTGAATAGCATCATTGTACATACAAATCTGTATGATACGTTGATAATCGCTTGATTTTCAATAAATTGAAATCGTTGTATGCAAATCGGTGGCAGGGCCGTGTGGTCGGGAGCGCGCGTTGCGGGTGTTTCGCAAGTGCGGTGTGTTCCACATTCCCGGAGACCCCTCATGCAAAAGGAAAAAAAATGAATAGCCCCTGGTGGGGATCACCCACAGCCTTAAGATCTCAATCTAGCTGCAGAGATAGTTAGTAACGTGTTTGCTGTAAAGGGGTCCTCGGGAGTACTTGCAAGTCTTACGCGCTACCGATTGCGCCACAGGGGCCTGTCTGGCTGAGGGTAGGCTCACTACCATGTAATATCAGCTTGCCTTTGTGGCAACTTGTGCCTCACGTGAGACTAGGGAACTGAAAGGGGTCAGGTCATACGTAAATAGTTATTCCCCCTCTCCTACTACTCTAGTACGTTTGGCAGAAACCGATAGCTTTATCAGTGGGTCTGTTGAATCCTTGTAATACATCAACTGTGTGGTCGATCTCGGTCATCCCATGTCATATTATGTGACGTATCAGACTCCGAGAATGACCCTGGTCAGGATGACATGACAATGATTAGTTAACTAGTTGATGTCCCCTGACCTCATCCTTCCTAGGCATGTCTTGTCAATATAGCTCAACAGGGCTCACAGTAATAGTAGCCTTAGGAGTGGTCTCAATCATACAATGATCACGCCACGGAAAAGTCACATGAGGCATGTGACACACGATGTGTAGATGCAGTTGGCAGCTGCCTATTTCTGGTGCAGGATTCCCGGGAAGGCTCATCTCCCTGCACCCATAGTAGTGGGATATTAGTGCGTCGCCCCGTGAAGCTTCGGCGAGTGAAAGCTAACACTGTAAGTGTTCTATTACTTGCCAAATCCACACACACTGGTATAGGGAGATTTCCTCATCCCATACTACAGCCACACAGGAAACAATAGGAAATCATTTGCACGGCACGAGCTCACACTGGCTTGGAATCATGTCCTATAACCCGGAACGAGCGTGTCAATACTGCAAGTCCTTGGCGCATATTGATAAATACTGCCCTGGATTTAAGACTTGCATCTACTGCAAAGGGGACCATAACATCATCAAGTGCACGAAGATTACGTGCAGAAGATGCAAAATTAAAGGGCATCATCAAGTAATCTGCCCGAATACGTCAGAGTGTATGTTATCATCATCGCCTCATTGCAATTACCCTGAGATCATCGATGAGCATGGTGGTGTGGAGAAAGTAACAGAATCTCTGATCCACCTTATAAGTCCACACATTATCCAGTTCCAGGGCCATGAAGTAACAAGAACTGCACTGAACGCAATTGTCTGTCAACAAATTGATAGTAATGAGCCCTGGAATATGCCTTTAGGTTACGCAAGCATTGTATGTGATGACCGAGATACATTATGGTGGAGGTTATATATAGGCCGATGCTCTTTATCATGGCGGCGGATTGTGTGCCAACATGCCCAGCAAATTATCAAGGGATCAACAGCAAGTCTCTACTACTTTAGTCTGTGGATAGGAAACGGTCATCGATATGCTAGGTTTATCAAGCTTTGGGGTTTTCCTAAGGACACGGTGACTGATGGATGGTATCAAGCCTGCAGCAATCTACTTGAGGCCCTGTTCTGCAGAGCTTTCAGGACCCATCACGGAATGTTGAATCGACTGGGATCGAAGTACCAGAATTATGGTAAGGCCTCAACCTTGGGATGGGGTCTTAATATAATGTCACCGCTCGTGCAGGGAAATTTGGCCCTGAACAAAGAACTTCGGACCAAGGCAAACATTGGTCCCAGTAAGGCAGCAGATCGACAGATCCAATACTGGGCCGTTTTCAACTCACGACAGAAGGCAGCTGCTGAGAAGAATAGAGGAAAAGAAAGTATCAAGGCTGTGTTCGAGAGAGATTTCGACGCTGCATTACAACTCGCTTTGAATAATGACGAAGAGGCCTTTAACATGGTCAGAGAATCACTCCAGCTACAACAAGAAACGTCCGATTTCAGTGAAAATTTGGCTCATATACCCTTTTGTGGTAGTTTGACCTCCAAAGTGGCCGCAATTCTTGACTATGCTGCTGTTTCAGGGGCGAATAAATACGCCCATGAGAGCTAGTAATAATGATGACAAGCAGCACATGCTCACAATCCCATGGTCTCTAGATGGATGTGGCTTTACTGAGGGAAATATTCTCATCTGGACCTACGACTTTAAGAGTTTTACGAGTATAGGTCTTAAGCATCTTGGTCATGATATTCTGACAGATCCTGATGCCAGAAAGTTCCATGAAACTTTGCTCGCAACCAGCCAAGCTAAGATTATTTTCCTATGTGGGCCTCAATCAGAGAAGCTTATACGAGCCATTGTGAGGAATTCGCACCATACTCTGTCTCTACGCGGATTTGACTACCCACTCTATCGTGACCCCTTACGGAATCGTCTTTTTATCTGCTGTCCTCCTCTACCTGCAGAGATCTGGTCCGTTAGCACAAGACATAGTATCAAGATAAGTGAGGCTTTGAGGTTTGCAGTTAACTTCATCCCATCATTAAAGTACGATATTAGACCGTTTTTTCTGTGAAAACAGCAGCGTTATTGGTTATATCTTGCGCCAAGCAAGGAAAGAAAGACTCGGAGGAGAAGCCCTGACTGCTGACACTGTGAACGAGGGTGTCCGGCTCTGGCTAGCCAGAAGAAACATGGGTCAAACTGAAGATATAAAGGAAATAGAGAAGATTGCTGGCTCACTTACTCGCGGCCTCTTAATGGTTTTGAAATTCCTTCCAAGGAGACCGAAAAGTGATGGGAATGAATCCAAAGAAAGAAGCCCGCAGCCCAGCAGGAGAGCCACTGAAAGGGTGAGGGTTCATGAATCCTTCAATGTGGAGCAGTATCGGAAGATAGGAGACTTTGTTCACAAGCATCTAGACGAGCGGGAGGTAGATTACAGAAACCGTTTATCTCGGCTGTGTGCGGAGTCACCGCGGCCTCAAGACAAGGAGAGATGTTCTACTAGCTCTGATAAAGGAGGAAGTGATGCGCCATCCACTGATCCGGAGTCTATTGCAGCACTGAAATGCTTTTCACAATTGCAGGGTCAAGAATTTCAGACGGGCGCAGCAGAAATGAAAGGACTGGTAGAACACTGTCAGCCCGAGGCAGGAGATAGGGACTACGAAGCTCCCATTGATATCCTTCAAGGCCTTACAGCCAGAGTTATAGGTGAAGGTTTTCTTGACCCCGTCGGTGTCACTGCTGCACAGCCCGTCATCGCTGGGGCTAGTGACAAGAAGCGGCAGGGCGTGAAAAGTGTGGTGTGGAAGAATGAAGACGTCCGAAATCGTGAATATAGCTATAAGCTTTAAGACCAGCTCAAGCGCCACATCTATATCTACTATTGCGAGATTCGGTTCCCGGCTAATATGGATATCTTAGATGAAATGGTCTTTATCAAACTAGAGCTTTGTCCTTTGGGAGAAATACATACAAGTCTATATGCAACCTCAAGCTCTGAAGCTCACGATGATCCGGCCCTACGTCTAGCCTTCCGGGTTAGATACATCGACTCTTTCGGTCGTGAAGTGGTATACTATGCAACAAATCCAGCCATTAGTAAGGTTTTCAGGGCGAATACCTTGGTGGAGGTTCTGGAGAAGAAATCATTGGAAGATATTTCACGGTTCCCGAGACGGTTTATCCACATTGGTAGTCAAAATAATGCTCATCCCTTGCTTGAACGCTTTAGGCGTGGGGGAAATACCAGCCCACTTCCTCGTTAATCGTATGATGATGTGCTGTCTATGTACCGTTCTCCCCTATCCATTCCCTTACCTTTCTTGCAGTGTACATCAAGCGTCTATCTAGATTCAATTCAATTCATTTCATATCAGAAGATCGCGCCCGCTAAGGAAGATGCTAGCTATGCATGTTGCTTCACCGTTTGAAGCTAAGAAGATAGCCCGGAATGCCCTCGAATTCCCCAAACTCGCAGTATTCACACTTAATTTACGAAGCAACACATGCTACGACGTAGGGAGGTCATCACCATAGCTAAACATAACTAAACAAAAAAAGCAAAGCATAGTCTTACTGAAAGTAGAAATATGAATGAGGGGAGATGCTACCGCCACACCAGCCAGGTGATGGCTGCTTGAAGGACTGCTTGGAGAGCTGCTTGGAGGACTACTTGAAAGATAATTTCGAAGATCGTTTAGATAGCTTCTTGGAGAATTGTTTAGAGCGTCATTTGGGTGGCTGTTTGGGTGGCCAATTGGAGTCTTATAAAATCTACTCGAAGCCTCATATTTATGCCGCGACGCGTGCGATCCATTGCATAGATCTTGGTACTAGTACGAGGCCTATTACATTCATTGGTAAGTTCCATCAGTATACTGTGACTACTAATGAATACTATCATTGCGGTATGACACTTGTATCCTGTATTATATATACAATCAGACACCAAATCTATTCAATCACACCCCCTATAGACAAACCACGCAAACGAAGTTGGGTATATGAGATAAAAACTTCACGAAACCACACACACCATCCTATGTTCGATCCACACGTACTGTTGTTGAATACAACCCTTGTAGCCGGTTAGACCAAATACAAACATTAGAAAAAAAAATTTCACTCCCTAAGTTGAAATGAGGAGGATGGCAGCAAGCGGCCAGACGATTATTATATCCTCTTTTGAGCGGCACCCTTTATGTCAGATTAACATCCTGGAATACGGAAACATCCCATATCCCTGTCATGTCGAATGGAAAGCCATCCATCGTGCCGAATGTCCCGGAGATGCTCATCATGTCGTCGACAATATCGTTGTTTGTTTGTGTCTCTGGGAGGGCGATGGCGGCGGGGTTCACTAGTCGATGAGGGTGGGTGCTATCCGGTGGCTGGCCGAGATCTGTGAAAGTGGGCGGATGTTCAGCGCTGGTGGTGGTGCCGGTGCTATTGTTCAGGCGGTTGAGGAGACGCTCGCAGTGATCGAGACACATGTCGGCGACGTCCCAGTCTTCTTCTTCGCGAACACGGCGGAGAATGGATCGGAAGGTTTCGACGTTGGCTAGGCAAGAGCGGGCCACTTCGGGGTCGGTGGTTTCGAGGGCGCAACGGACGAGAAGGGTGGCGGTTGTGGTTAGGTGGAAGGCGCTGTCTGTGAAGTTGTTAGTGCCGTCTCATTTACTATGCCGGATCATGCAGGATATCTTGGGGATGCGGCATACATGGGAGCCAAAATTCCTGGAAATTCTGCTTCCGGAGGGATGAGATGAATTGCACGATTTCTTCGGCGGATCGCCGACATTCGGTCTGGAAGTAGCGGCGCGCCTCCGGATTATCTGCTTCGGCGTTGTTGACCTCCTAGGCAAAGTGAGTAAAGATGCGAATCGAATAGATAGGGCCCAATGGTACACACGTTGAGTTCAACACGGCTTACGAGCATCTTCACTGCAAGGAAGCCGAGCTGCAGACTGCTTGTACCGGAGATGCGCTCCTCCGTGGTATTCGTGCTGATGGGGTTGCGGAGCCAGTCGGGGAGAGAGTCCTCCCACGCGTCAAGATCCGTGCGGATCTGTCGCACCTTCTTTGTCGTTTCGCGGTGCGCTCGAGACTGCAAGCCGTATACAAGGGGTAGTAGCTCGCCTAAGATCTCAGTGAGCCGGCACAGAGCAATGTGGCAATGCGCAGCTCGCACGCGCTCCGGGGTTCGAGAAGCCTGGGGAATCAGAACTTCAATCGTTGGAAGAGGAACATCATATTGATTTTTAGCAATCTGAGGAGGCACTCCGTGACCAAAACTCCCCCTGAGTGTATGTTAGTGAGACGCCAGATCCATATATGGGCGTAAGTCAGGTAGGCTTACCAGCGATCATGGATGACGACGCCCCACCACAGCCGCATACGGTGGTTCTTCTCAGGGCGGGATAGTTTCCAGTGACTTGGATCGCGGTTGAGTCCGAGACAATGTGCAAGGGAAATCATGCGCCCGCAGCTGATGGCATTCCCTGTCATTGAGAAGATGGGCCGACCGGTAAGATCGATGAGGGCTGCACTGACTGTTGAGAGCCCAGGCGCCGAGAATTCTTCGTGGAGCGCAGCGACAGTCATGTTGACCGCGTACCGGGGATCTGGCTTCGGATGACAGGCCAGCTTGGGAGTATGTTTCCAATAGACTAGCGACATTGAATAGACCTGGCATAAGAGCGACGCTGGCGGGTCTCCTGGGGACTCCGACAAGAACGCCTCCCAGAAAGTTTCCCCATCGAAGATCGGAAATGCTGCATTGAACCGGTCGATGAATCTGAGAAGAAGAATTAGCATGGGGTTTCAAACTACCTTCGGGATCCGTTCGAAGGGAAAGCGTACAGTCTGACTAGGTCGCGCTTGAAGGGGCCAAGGATCTGCTCGAGAATCTCCTTCTGATTTTCCCCGGGAGGAACTCCAACCCGCATACCCTGCCTCCGCCGGGATACAGTAGTGTAAAGAATGGGCTTCCGAGGATCGCTCGAGTAGACGTTGTATGGCTGGCTTTTTGGTTCGACCGATTTGCTGGTCCGTTCCGGCGGCATGTATCTCTCGATAACCTGGGCATCCTCGGCCACGACAGGACCAACAATTAAGACCGACTCATTATGGGGGTCATCGACCCCTTGGCTCCTGGAATCACTTCTCCGACGGTCTAAAGCTGAGTCCGAATGTGCGATGCTGGAAGCGCGGCGGCGGCTGGGGTGCGACGGGGAATCGATTGCGTCTGGGGTATGCTTCCGTTTCTGTCCTAGCGACGAGACGCGCGTGTGATCTGGGACCCACGATTTCGATTCATGGCCATTAGTGAGTGGAGGATCATTATTGGTCTCTTCTTGATAGTGACAATCCGCTCCTTGAACGCGGCACAATAGGCATGATTGACCCGGGATATCAACGGTGCATCGCGATTTGCGCTTCCTGCACAAGTCGCAGGCCCTAACCTTGTGTGACCGGTATGGTCTGGCGCCAGCATTAAAACCCGGAGAGGCCAGCTTCGGTGTGGCAGTGGTGGGTGCTGTGGTCGGCGGCATGATGCGCCCCAATTGTGTCTTATGGTTGGCGCAAACCGAAGATCATAAGCGGTAGCGATGGCGATTGATTTCTTTTTTTATCGGGCGAATATGACAGGTCAGAATGCCGGACTAACACCGAGAGGTGGGTAGGATTTTAGATCGGGAGGGAGCTGCAAGATGATCGGTGGTTTCAACAGTGTTTTGTGCCAAAGCAAGTCATCCACACTCGTTGGACCCGGCTAGATCGCAAGGCCGAGGACGGGCATTGAATCTCTCGGGGACTGGGAGGGGAAAACGAGGGGGAAAAGAGAGAGGAGGGGGAGGAGAGGAGGGTGGGATGCTAATCGCGAGGAAGCGCTGATAAGTGCATAGTCATTGAGAAGAATAACCCCACACCGTTTGATTTGGAAAGATGATGGAAGAAGCAAGCAGCTCTGTCTGGCTGGAGGCCGAAGATCTCCTTGCGTTTCTGGAAGCGCGCGATCGAAAAAGGCCAGGAGAGAGATTAATTGCCGAAATTCTTGCTTGTCTTATCGGAATCTGCTAAAAGGTCCCTGTGGGGGGAAAAGGGGCTGAGTCAGCCAGGGCGACCAACCACGTGTCTCCAATTGGTGTACGAAGACCTCCGCACGAGCACTAGTCCGCTTTGGGAAGTGGTCCTCGGCATCCATGATGGATGATGGATGGATCATTCATCCCTCTTCCTCCCCCGTTTGATAGATACTACGTTCTTAGCACCCCCAGAGCTGATAGAACTGACATGACAAGCTCCATCAGCTCGGAGTATCTATTGATCATTACCTTACTCTTTGCTATTGTAGTATGCTCTTTATGGTTCTCTCGATCGATTATGAACCGCAACAGGGACGAAGTCTACAGGCCCACGGTTATTATACTGAGATCCTTTTGTATATTACATATCCGTATTGGCCGGTTGGATGCCGTGTAATTAATTCTGGAAGCTAGTATGCCTGGATCTACTCAGTTGATCACTTTCTCGTCACTAAACATCATAATGATCCCACTTTAACACGGTCAAAGAATCACACTTGAAATGGATTAGGTTGGAATTGATGTAGCTCGTGACGAGAAGATAAGTACGAAGAGCCGAGGTCCTCACTTCGAATGAACAAGCGATGAATGGGTATATACATGTCTTAAGAATATGTTCAGGGAATCAATCAATCCACAACACCGGTGTCATCAGCCCAGCTCGGCTGGATACTGCGGCACACGGCCTCGTAATCCCGAAACTTTTGAGAATCGTCCGTCAGTCCTGGAGTAGTCCAGAACATGGTCCAGTTCATATTCGATAATTTCCATGTCCCCTGCGAGCGCTCAAAGTACCACTTGTTCACGGGATTGTCCTTGCGGCTGCGCCAGCACACGCCATTCGGAAAACAAGAGCGGACCATCGCATTGAAGACGATATCGGCCACACCACCGGCACCTTGACTACGTTTCAAAACGGCAAATTTGTCCAGATAGGGAACCATGCGAGCTTGGCTCGCCTCACTCCCATCATCCTCTACCCCGGGAGGAAGCTCCCACGTCAAGATGGCGCCTCCTTCATACTCACCTGCAATGATGAGTCCAGCCAGACGACCGTTGACGCGGTTGAGGTAGTCTTGTACGTCAAGTTTGCGATTGAAGGAATCCTCGATGAGATGGACCAGTCGGGGCAGGTCGATCGAGGGATCATCGAGCCCCAGACGCGGCCGATCTCTGGCCGTCCAAGGTGAAAGCCATGGATTCGGAATGATGGTCAGCGGCATGCCTCGCTTGACAAACGTGGTATGGGAGGCCTGTGTAGCAATCGAGTCGCCTCCGCCATTTAGGGCTGCACGTCGGCTTAGGGGCAAAGAAGACGAGAGCAAAGGCTTGTCGGTCAGAAGATTATGGATGAGCGGGTTCCTCTGTCTTCGGGTTCCAACAGCTGATACATCTGGACTAGCGCCTCCAGGGCTCTGTGCTGAATTCGCAACTTCGAGTGGGGAGGTGATGATACTAGACGATGCCGAGGGTAGCATCGCCAGTGCGGCTTGGCTTAGTCGCAGATTATTTATGTGGCCCTCCACCATGCTTGTATCCAAAGTTAGGTCCGAGGAGTACGCTTTCTGACTAGAGGGCACTGGGACGACTTCCGTGTCGGCGAATTTGGAGAGAGGATTGCTATCAGCAATGGACGGTAAACCTTCTTCAGGAAGATTATTCTTTGCAGATGCTGCTGACTGCCACACCCGCAGCAACTCGTTCTCAATATCGTCGAATTCCTGTTCCATGTTGATGAAAACATGGGACGTCTGAGGCCCACTGAAAGCAGGAATCCCGCCCAAGGGGTCCAGGAGGATGACTCGATCCAAGGATACTTCTTCCTGCAGGGTCGCGATCCGTTGGGCCGTCAGTATTGGGTCTTCATCAGGGTCAGGATTTGTTGCCAGTCCGGCCAGCTCTTTGGTGAGGGCCAGGATGGCATCGCTGGCCGAGACCGTCACTGCTCGAGGAACGTCTTCTGTATAAGCAATGGGGGCCAAGACCACGATGTGACCATCGCGCAACGGCCCGAGCAGTACTTTCCGGGATAAGACTTTGGGTGCCTCAGGGTTCAGCGCAGAAACGGATAGGACAGAGTCGATGTGAGCTGATTTCGAGTCCGGCTGGGCATCCACAGCTGTTGAGATGCGATCTGCCTGCTCGGCCGCGATCCTCCGCAGTTTGTTAGGATCGCCTGCTGTGCCCGGGTCGACTACCACGCAACAAGCCATTCCCAGACGATTCAGCTGCGAGAGGGTTTTGGCCACGCCGTTGACGGTCAAGTCATCGAGAAGCTGCGGAGTGGTTATCTTGACCAGGGCCAGGTGCAGGCGCTCAGACACATCTTGAAGGGGAGGTGTTGGAGTTGAGTCATGTCTGAAGACGGGGCTGTCATAGACCGATCGGGAGGCGCCATAGAATGAGGTTGAACTGGCACCCGACGACACTGGTGCTGTCGCTTCCGATACTCCGGATTGCTTGGCGGCCGGCTTCAGGGGAGTAGTTCCTTGATGTTGAGCTTTGAGACGGGCCAAATAAGATTTGGCCTCACGCTTGGTTGAGGCGGAGTTCAACAAGCTTAGGAAGAATTCGCGGTCTAGGAGCTTCTCCTTGGCGCGGTGACCTAAGCGATCCCAAGTTTTGCTGCTGGAGGAGAACTCGGCACTCTGCTGCACTTGCCGACCGGAAGCCGAGGAAAGACATCGACGCGGGGCACTGCCACTACTACTAGTACTACTACTGCTGACGGCAGCAGCGGCAGCAACACCACTGCGTTGCAGGTGTGTCGATGTAGTCGATCGCAGCCCGACCAAGGTCCTGGAGCTCATAGTTTCGGACCCGGAGGTGACTCTTTGGGGATGCGTCGGTCTGTAGATGGAGAGGTGGTCATCGATCGACTGGGCTGAAAAGTCGCTAGGCGCCCACGTGACAGACACTAGGAGCTCCGATGGGGCCGCAACATGTCATGGGCATCAACAGTCACGTGAATGGGGGGATGGCTACATACAAAGTAGTATATAGTAGCATTTCATAGTGAAGAATGGATTACTATCTTATTCATGTCTATCAGCCCGGTCTGCCAGTAGTAAGAAAATTATGCACTCTTCATGATTCGTATAAGTCGTGTCGCCAGCCCAAGGAGTGGCCAATCCCAAAAGAAAGACAAATCACACCAAGATATTTGACAGATTCATGCTTACCCACCAATAAGTATCATCGGCCTGTTTTTCATATCTTTGAGCTCACCCATGCCAGCATGCTTTGCCTTCTTCCTCTTAACCGCTACTCCGATGAGATCCAGCAGCTCCTCTCTCCGGACAAAATCATCCGATTCCAGCTCCTTCATCCTTGTTTCACTGATTGGCTCCCCGTTGTTTTCCTTCCGGAGTATATCTCGCAAGGATACTTCGGCGTTACCGAACAAACATACCTTCAGGTTCCCGTCACATGTAATGCGTAACCGGTTGCAGCTACCACAGAAGTTATGCGTCATGCTGGTGATAAAGCCTATCTGGCCTTTGAAGCCAGGAACCTGATACGTTTTGCTTGTGTTGTTCTTGTGATCTGGCACTTTTTGAAGAGCGGGGTACTTCTCCTGGATGGTTGCCAGCATTTCTTGGTAAGAGACCATCTTACCCTGGCTCCATTTATTGCCATCGAAGGGCATGTACTCGATGAAGCGTATTTCAATGGGGTTATTTCGCCCTAACTCGATGAAAGGGATGATTTCCCGATCATTGATCCCCCGCATTACCACGCAGTTGATCTTTAACTTAATCCCAGCCCCGGCCTTGTTTAATTCAACCACCCGGTCTATACTCCTCATCACCGCATCGAACCCCTTTCTCCGCGTCATAATCTGGAACTGAAAGGGATCCAACGTATCAAGGCTAAGGTTGATCCCAGTCAGCCCGGCATCAACCATGGCGTCCAGCTTCCGGTGCAGCGAGATGCCATTTGTTGTCAGACAGAGCTCACGAAGGCCATTGCGACGCAGTTCCCCGATCGACTGCATGAGGGGAATGATATCCTTGCGAACGGTAGGCTCACCGCCTGTCAAACGTATCTTGGTCACACCCTGCGAGACGAAGAGCGACGAGAGGTATATGATTTCGGGAGAGGTAAGGAGACGAGCCGGTGGAGATAATGGTACGCCTTCCTCAGGCATGCAGTAGAGACAGCGGAGATTGCATCGCTCGGTCACACTGATGCGGAGGTAGTCATGCTGGCGGTTGAAGGTATCTGTCAGAAATTCCGAGAAGGGCTTCGCTGATTTTAGGGCAGCCCATCGTGGCGGCACGGAGTTGGTAGAGGGGGCCGGTGAGGATAGCCCATCTTCGGATCGGGTAGCTGTCGTTATGGCATTGGTGCTGTGATTCCGGGGGTTCCAGATGGCTAATCTGGCGACGTGAGAAGTCGGCATAAGTCGGCTTGAAATACTCATCTTCGCCGAGTTGGCGCAAGACCACAGTTTTGGCATCATGGAAGTAGTTAGGGTGGATTACCCGGTCTGAACTAGTTAAGCGTTAGATCGCTGAGTCAGGAGGAGAGTAAGAGAATCCTCCGCTTCTTGAAGAAGCTGGTTCAAAATGCCGTGTAGTACGGCGGGCATTAGCGGCCATCGAGTAAAAGCTTTCAAAGTCTCTTTAACTGCCAGAGTATAATCGATCAGGACTTCTGTGAGGGGGCGGGTCAAGTCCCTGGCATCACGTGAGGCTGCTTATCGGCCTGGTTTGCCTCCCGTCCCTTGTTGGGCCTATCTGCGGAGTAGTGTTTATTAATCATTATCATTATTAGCACTTTTATTACTTGCGCGGAGATCATGAGGTAAAGACCTTGGGGCTCCCCATCGGTGATCTTCCGTCCAGCTCTCCATAAGACCCCAAACAACGGGATGCATAAGTAATACAAAAGCCGCGCATTGGATCTAGTGGCTGCCACTTGATACATGAGGCATCGGAATTAAATCAAGCCCAAAGTATGCATATATATCTACTACAAAGTAAAAGGGGTCCCGTATGAACCCTCACTGCACGTATAACACGAACACACTGTCTAAAAAGCAACCGCGACTTTTCTTGACATTTGCCCTAATTACCTTCGCAACACGCCGAAGAAAGGCAGAAGTTTTGTTAGGAAAGCAAGTGGAGAAGCACCATATCATCACGTGAACCCTACCGCTCACATGTCGATATGATAAGCAGGGCGGTGGAAGCCAGAAAATCTCCCGCTATCTCCGCATTTCTCCAAATCCTATGATCACCTCAAATCAGCTGGTATTCGTATCAATCGACCGTCCCGTGTCGATATCCATGCTGCTTCTATGTCTTTAATACTCGGGCGCGTCCCGCGCTTTCTGTCAGTACGGCTGGCTACTGTCGGACATGCTAAACCGACACAAAAAGCGACGTCCCTGGTCCGACTGATCTCCCAAAACGCAGCTGCATCATCGAGGAGCACTGAGGCTAAAGATCTTCCATTGGCATATACCTGGCTAACAAGAACGCCAGGCCAAATTGTGAGAATTGCTATCTGCATATGACCGTTTCCATTCACTAAGTGTTTCAAGAGACGCCAGATGACGTCCTTTCGAGCGTATCCCCCATTCCAGAGTCCCTCTCGTTAAACTACGTACCTGTCCTCCTAGTCACTACTGCATTCGCCCACTGGATTGATGTATCGTCGAACCGCTTTCTGGAACAATTGATCAACTCTTTGTATTTATCTACACCAAACCGCGAATCGTCAGGACCTCTCCATGCCATTGTTGCCGTGGTCGATAAGCTACCCGACCTCCGCGCCAGGCTCGAAGGGCTTGTCGACAGCAAGATTTCATCTGACTCCGATGGAGTTTCGCTCTTGCTGGTAAAGGCAGAAAATTTACAGGGAACCATTGCTGTGCCTCGTCGTGTTCGCAGTATGGAAGCTGCAGAGTCCAGTTTGGTCTTTACTTTTCAAAACGACACATCCTCCAAGACTTTGCAGAGGTCGACTCATGAACTCGGACTGCGTCTCGCCAATACAATATTCATCAACGGGAATGACACCACTCTTTTTGGCACGCGCTGGACTTATACGCCTTCTCAGCAATATACCTTAGAGCAGTCAGTGAATCTCTCCAACTGCACGGTGACCTCAGCGGTCGCTTCCGTCCAAAACTCATTTAACCTCCCGCTCTATCCTGTTGGCCATCGAAGGAGAGTGATCTCAAGCATGGGAAATATCCTTCGTCAGTTGGCAAAACATCTGGATAGTCAATCAACGGAACCAATGCCAGCTTCATCTGAACTGGAAAAGGAACTGCCACGCTACATTGAGGAACACGGCATAGTTGACCGAAGGGTTTCTGTTTGGGCCCTGATTGAGAACTCCGAAAAGGGCTTTCAATTGGAAAACAACACTAATATGCAGGAGAGCCTCGTAAAAGCAATCCGCGCTGGAGGCAAACTCCATCGGGTCATGAGCGGTGGCGGTGGATGGGGAAAGAAACAAGGCCTTCTATCTTTGGACCCTGAAACTACGTTCAACGAAACAGACAATAATCAGGGGCTCCTAGGCCTGGACAATATCTTCGCAGACCAGGAGACGCAAAATCTCTCAGATATATCTACTCCGCCGCCTGCGTTCTTTGAGATGCCACAACTGGATCAAAGTATGTCAAGCTTGTCTCAAACTGCAGGACCGGGTGACTACATTCAATTCTTTGTTTCTGTAGAATCAGAGCATGCCCCGAAACCTCTTCGTCAAGATGAGGGCATTCGGCTCAAATTCGGCATTGTTGCTGATTCCGAGACCATTCCCAGCTCTTCCGATGGCGAGGAGAAGGATCTGGGTGTTGTACCTCAGTTCTTTGGTGCGCTATCGGAGAAAGCAATCACTTATTCGCAGCCTGTGGTCGGTCCAGAGGCCTCTAATTCCCTCAAATCAAGTGCTAAGTTTGATATTCCCGGGTGCCACGTGGAGTTAGTGGTGGAATGATTGAATTGTGTGCAAAACCACATGTATCATGGGAAATTCATTATGCACGGGCACAGTACCCGATCTCCATGTCCATGGTCTCTTTTAATTCTACGGTCTCATCTTCCGAACCTGACTGTGTCTACGGACTTATACTTCTACATATCCTAATTAAATTGCAAACACGACCATCCCCGCCCATATATATAGTCTCGATACTGATCCATCATGGAGTTATGTTCTTCCATTAAGGGGAATCAAGAACACACGCCCGGTAGAACAAGACATACACCGTCGATCTACTAGTTTACTTTTACAGTGCGCCAAAGCACTTCATCAAATCAAAGACCTCACCATCGCTGTACGCTGGGCTGCGGTACCCTGTGGTCAACAATGTCCTGGAGGGATTGTTACTCAAGTAACTGCAGGCATTGCACTCGCCGATTGTGACTGATTCCTACAGGGTGCCTTGTAGACGGAGGGTTAACGGATTCTATCGTACAAATAGTGATAACGTACGTGGAACTGAGGGTCACAATCAAGATAGGTGGGGCTCATATTTCAATCTTTGAACCAGAATGGAGATTCGATGGATTCTGGAAAGACAAGCTGTAGCGCATAGTAGCGCACCTAGGTGAGGACTGATCAGTTGAATGGATGCGCATGGATAGAAGAGAGCCGGATTCAGAAGACATGAGTCCAGCAGGGTCGCCACAGTGATCAGGGTTGTGGGAGAGCTACGTTTGCATGATCTAGATAGTCCCCCGCCATTGGCTTGCAAATCTTACTTTTGACATACATCTTGGGAAATCCATCAGTCCCTGAAGCCATCGCGTCGGCCCCGTTCATATACATCACGTGATTCGATACCAGACAGTATCACGTGTCACAAAGTGTCCGATGACCTCATTGACGCCTCCCGACTGCAGTTGATCCGCGTCGTCTTATGTCGTCAAAACAATCGCCTAGTAGTAGGTTTCATCTCATACAACTTCTATGACGTGTAAGTATTCGGTACTTCGGTACGGCTGTCATAGCCCATAATATCGGGACTGCTGAAGCAGCATGGGTGTCCATGGGCTCTGGACGGTCGTACATCCTTGTGCACGGCCCATCAAATTGGAAACTCTCAACAAAAAGCGCCTGGCTGTCGATGCATCGATATGGATTTACCAGTTTTTGAAGGCGGTACGCGACAAAGAAGGCAATGCTCTCCGGAACTCTCATATCGTGGGCTTCTTTCGCCGCATATGCAAGCTACTCTACTTCGGAATCCAGCCGGTCTTCGTATTTGATGGTGGCGCGCCGGTCCTCAAGCGCCAGACTATAGCAAACCGGAAGAAACGGCGCGAAGGTCGGCGAGAAGATGCCGTGCGGACCGCTGGAAAGCTGCTCGCTGTGCAGCTGCAAAGGTCTGCTGAGGAAGAGGCGGCTGTCCGTCGGAGGGGGAGAACGACAAATGAAGAGGAGGTGCCGGACAACCCTGTTTATGTCGGTGATGCTTTCATAACGGAACAGGAAAAGAAGCAGACGCGGTCATTCAAGAAGAAAGACGCCTATCATCTGCCGGATTTACAAACCAGCCTTGAAGAGATGGGGGCCCCCAATGACCCTCGCATCATGTCACAGGAAGAATTGGAGGAATATGCGAGGCAATTTCATCAGGGAGAAGATATCAATTTGTATGATTTCTCGAAAATTGACTTTGATAGCCCATTCTTCGTCAGTCTCCCGGCGACGGACCGGTACAATATCCTCAATGCGGCCAGACTCCGAAGCCGTCTCCGGATGGGGTACTCAAAGGAGCAACTAGACAGCATGTTTCCTAATAGAATGGCGTTCTCGAAGTTCCAGATCGAGCGTGTAAAGGAGCGCAATGACTTAACCCAACGACTGATGAATATCAACGGCATGAATGGTGAAGATGCTCTGTACAAATCAGGACAACGTATTGCCGGAGAACGCGGGAAGGAGTATGTCTTGGTGAAGGATGATACCATTGAAGGGGGCTGGGTTCTGGGAGTTGTGGGAAACAAAGAAGGCCAGGAGGACAAACCTATTGATGTTGATCAGTATGGTCAGCAGCTGATATTCCCTGGCAAAGAGGATAATTCGGATGACGATGATGGTGGCTTTGAAGATGTGCCTATCGAAGGATTGAACCGACTTCCTAAGCTGCCTTTCCTTCAAAAAGGGGGTTTCGGTGAATCAAACAGGAACCAGATGCGTGATAGCTTGGATACAGGAAGCCCCGAGCTGCAGGAAGCCAACGATGACTCCCTTTTCGTGGAAGGTGGCCAGAACGAACTAGCGAATCATAACCACCATACCACAGATACATTGTTCGATGCCACTGGAGATGATGATGACGAAACGCTTCAACGAGCGATCGCGATGTCTCTCCAATCTGGTGTTCGTGCCGATGCCGATACCAACGATGATGATCTACCTGAAATCCAGCTTAACCAGAACTACATGTCCCTTCCATCTATCCACGAGGCCCCCGCAGACCTTACAGATCATAGTGATGACGAAGAAATGGACTTAGTCGCCGCCTTAGCACAATCCAAGAGAGTACAGAAAGCACCGCCCAAAGTGGCAGGTAACCCCTTCGATGGTCCGCTTCCCTTTGAGTCACTTAAACCATTCAAAGCTGGAAAATCAACCAACCGTGGTAAATCAGCTGAACAAGAATCTGGCGCAACAAAACCCGACAATGAATCAAGTAAGACGAAGGATAACCAGATACTGCCGCCGTGGTTCTCAGGGCCATCGCAAAGTGTCAAGGATGTTGAGTTCGTCAGTGATGAGGTTCACCATCGTCCAGTGGCGAAGCCGCCTAGTGAGCAGAATGTACCAGATCACGTGTTCATCGTTGGCGATGAAGAAACGATGGAGGACCATGATTCAGGGGCTTCAAAAGGCTCAAAACCATTCATTGACTTGGTGCCGACTCCTCAATCGAACGGTGGTGGTCAAGAATCTCAAATCAAACTCGAGGTTGGACCACAAGTAACTCCTGTCGAAGCACAAGCTACTGAAACAAAGGACGCCGAAGCTTTGGAAGCACATACGGGAGATATCATTCCAGTGGATGCGTCCAATCCATCTATGACGGAGAGACACATCTCCATTGATGATGAAACAGATTTGAGGCACGCCGAAACGTCGCCATCGCCTGAGTTCGAGGATGTTGTCATACAGCCAGACAGCATACCCACGGAACCAACTACCCTAGATCAATCAGACCAAGTGGAAGAATATTATGATGACGACAATTTTTCAGATCCTGAAGACGAGCAATTACTCGAACAGCTCGCGGCTGAGGGGGAAGAGCATGTACGCTTTGCAGCGACACTAAACTCTACTTCTCACACCGAACTTCCATTTGACTACGAGCAAGAGCTAAGACAGTTGCGGTCTCAGCAAAAGAAGGACCGCCGAGATGCAGACGAAGTGTCACAAGCCATGATTACTGAATGCCAGCAGTTGCTGAGGCTATTCGGTCTTCCATACGTCACGGCCCCTATGGAGGCTGAAGCCCAGTGTGCAGAATTGGTGTCCCTCGGCCTTGTTGATGGTATCATCACCGATGATAGTGATGTATTTTTATTTGGAGGCACACGCGTCTACAAAAATATGTTCAACCAAAGCAAGTTTGTTGAATGCTACCTCACAACTGACCTAGAGAAAGAGTACTCTCTGTTCCGCACCAAACTCATCAGGCTCGCCCATTTATTAGGGAGTGACTACACAGAAGGAATCCCCGGCATCGGGCCTGTAACTGCTTTAGAGATCCTCACCGAATTCGGGACACTGGAAGAATTCCGTGATTGGTGGACGCAGGTGCAGACAGGACTCAATATGGGCAACGATAGTCATGCAATATTCTACAAGAAGTTCAAAAAGCATGCTACAAAAATCTTCCTACCACCATCTTTCCCCGATCCCCGAGTCGATGCCGCGTACCTGGAACCAGAGGTGGATTCGGACCCGTCTCCCTTTCAATGGGGAGTGCCCGACTTGCATGGTCTAAGGGACTTCCTTATGTCAACAGTTGGCTGGAGTCAAGAACGCACTGATGAGGTGCTGGTGCCCGTAATTCGCGATATGAACCGCAGAGAGCAGGAGGGCACACAATCGAATATTACTAGTTTCTTCAGCGGTCCGCAAGGAGCGGGTGCTTTTGCACCGCGTGTCCGCAATGGTGGACAGACAAGGATGGAGAAAGCATTTAGTCGCCTCCGGCAGCAAGCTGTATCTGTGGAACAGGCTGATTCAATTGGCATAGATAGTCACTTGCATGATCCAGCTGCAGATGGGTCATTGGAGAGCCCAGTACCATCAAATCTGGCGACAGGAAAGGAGACGCGCCCCAAACGAGGGCGTCGTGGAGCACGAAATGCACCGGATGGGCACGATGATATGGCGGAGAGGACTGCTACCAACAAAAAGCGTCGGACCCGCGCCAAGTAAATAATTGATCGCAGTGATGTCAGGACTATAATGCAGTGGCTACATGCTGTTGCTACTACTGAAAAATATATTGATGATAGTACGTCCCGGGTAGCTAGTAATCTAAGGCGTTAGGGATCTTTGTGTAGTGTCGGTGTATTCTGTAGTTGCTTCGAGCTGTCCCGGCATTCAATATGCGAAAAGTAAAACTAGTGAACTTGTCTGCTCTGAGTAGCGAGATATCCACCTGCAAGACCCCTGGATGGTGGGGTAACTTGGCCTGACCGACACGATTTATTCGTTGCCATGGATGACCGGAACTGACAGAGTCGCTAGCTAGGTCAAGAGAAAGACTTTGCCTCATGGAGGAAGGTACGCACTGCAGTAACCGAAGTACCACTATAGTTGCCGTGTAGATAGTGGGGATAGTCCCCGTTACTAGAAGTGGGCCGGCTGGCCTTCCCCTTGGGTAGCTGTCGAATGTCATTCTCATTCAGCAAGAAAATAAAGCTTGTTACTCCGTACCCAACCCTGAATTTTCTGCTTGTCATGAAAATGCGAGAAAGAGAAGAAAGAAAGGCACCTTCACCAACGCCAACTGGGACTATAGGTCAAAATCTACCATATTCGGCTTGTATATAAGACTAATTCAAATGATCGATCTTTTAGGAAGCCAACAACACACGTTATCTGTCACGGTGTAACGAGCACTGCTCGATGTTACACAAATGGGGCTATTGCACAATCGATCGAAACCATATCCCAGCCACGGTAAGGTGGGTCGGATCTGATAGTCTTGTCTTCCCAAGGTACCCTTCCGTAACCCGTTATAAGGTTTATTCAAACTCGGCTATATCTCATATGCCACTCGTCTCATCACTCGGCTATCGTAGGGTCGGCAGATGGCAGCTTCCCCGTGCGTGAAGCTATCCCCATGACACGATAAGCCCTGCCGGCCAGCTGATCCTCCGGCACAACCTGCCGAATCGCGTCTAGTGCCTTGGCGATCGTCAATGGTGGACGATCTTGGGGATATGATTGGTGGGGGAGGGGGAGAGCAGAGCCGGGCGGCGCCGCATCGAACTACCAAATCAAGTTAGCGTGGGCTGTCACGGGGTCGGTGTAGGACTTGCCTATTTGGGAACAAAGGGAGGGTGGCAGCATGAAAGCGAGGAAACCCAGATAAATATACCCTCTCACAGTCCGTCTCTCACCTTCTTCTTCTTCATCATCATCATCATCAATCTTAATTGCCAGCTCCATCAGAGACCTCATCTGGTCGGTGTCCTCGCGACTCACCCGCGCTTTCCCTTCTCGACCTGTCCGTCTATCTCGGCTCCCATCAATAGATGGCGCTCTCTCTTTATCCCCTCCGTCGTCATTCTCACGCATATACTATTGCCCTTTCGCAACCTATTCGCAGAGCCAGTAGGAATTGAATGCACTTATCAAATACGTTTCTTGAATCATACATCATAAACTCAATATCTTCCCCAATTCAAGCCCAATCCAATTACGCAAACAAACAAACCCAATATGGCCATCGAGATCCTTCCCCTCACAAAAGAGGATATTCCCTCGGCCGTAGCATGCATACAGAAAGCGTTCGCCGACGACCCGTACTTTCACTGGGTATTCAACAATAAATCCGGGGTAAGTAGCCCTCCGTTCGAGGACCTTCCAATCTCGGTTAGAGATACCAGGTACCTCGAACGATGTACAGACTGAGCTAGAGTTGTACATGTAGAATCCCGCTCCCTACTCTGCACTGTCAGTCCCAACTCTACCATATAAATCAAACTAAACAAAATTATGAACAGTTCAATATTCACCGCAACGCTGCCTCTCTTGCTGCACACTTCCTCTACGGCCTTTCCTGCAACGAGCCTATTTTCGTGGCCAAATACACTACCAACACCCCCAGAGACAAGATCCCCACCGATTCCCCCGTCGTCGGAGTCTGCTGGTGGTACAGCCCGCAACCCCCGTCCGAGCCTGTCCCCTGGTCCGTCTGGGCGCAAGACTGGATCCTCTCCTTCCGCCAGCTGTACAATAACATCCGATTCGGTGGCCGAGGTGGCCTTAACGTCCGTCGTTACTGGCTCTGGAAAGCCCGACAACAGGAGACTCACAACCGAGTTTGGACTGATCCCCGCGGCTACTACTTCTGCAATGTGATCGCGGTCGACTCCTCGATGCGAGGAATGGGGCTGGGTCGGAAATTGGTCGAGGTAGTCAGTCAACAAGCTGATCGAGAGGGCATGCCTTGCTACTTGGAAAGTTCCAAGGGGTTCCCAAACCTGATAATCTATGAGAAATTGGGGTTCGAGATGGTCAGTGAGATTGAGTGTGTGGACGGCAAGGATAAATGCAAGGTATGTCAGACTTTTCAGCTCTTGTTGGGTTTCTTATGTCGCCGTGTGGGTGGGCTAATGAGCACAGCTGTATTGTATGATCCGTCAGCCAAAGATAAAGGCGTAGATGAGATCGTAGATGTATGCCTTATTATCCAAATAGCATGCAACATCCATGTCTACTACTACCATTTCTACAGTGAAAGGCGTTCAACTCCCAAGTATATCGACGCTATTTGACTACAATATCTAACGTGGAGGGGGAAGGGAGAGAAGGTGGCAGACATGATTTCCATAGTTCAGACTACCAAGGATTTGGAGCGAGTGACAGATACTTTTGTCTGGCTTGAGATGGTGGAAAGTCACCTTCCATCTGCTTGGATGACTAGCTCCGAAGTATATTTACCCTGAGCCAAGTTGGTACTTAGGAGTAAGATACATCGTAGGAAATCCTTCGATAGAAATGATTTTAATATGATTTATGTAGTTAAGGTTTACCTTATCTGTAAAGTGTGGCATCCGAATGAGGTCAACTTCAATTCAGATCGCGCAATTCTAGGATGCTCTCTAATAAGCATAAACACCACCCGCAACACGCTAGCGGTTCGTATAATCGCAATAGGAAATTCTTGGCGGTGTTGTGAAATTTACAAGAAAATGCGGTATCCATGGGTCATAACCCCATGCGGTGATAAGACAAATTTGCGAAACCATTTCAACACAAGTGGCCCTTGTGGCGCAATCGGTAGCGCGTAAGACTTCTAGATTGAGATCTTAAGGCTGTGGGTTCGACCCCCACCAGGGGCTTTCTTTGTTTCTTTTTTTTTTCCCACCCCCCTTTCCCACCTTTTAACACGGTACAAGTTATATGCACTGTTTGCATTCTCTATTTTCTTTATTTCCTTTCTACCTCTTTCCATCGCGGGGGTGGCCTCTCTCAGATGCTTGTTCATCTGACTCTAATCACCAACCTGGTAAATGCAAGCCGAGTCTGCCCTGAAGTAGAGCCGGATTATCCAAGAACGCAGTAGCGAGTAGAACTTGTGCATACCTCCGACGAGTTCCGAAGAACCAACTAAACATTAAGATAACTAACTAACAATTAACATAAGTAATCTTATCGCTGTGAATAATACACTAGGGACTTAGGTTGCATTTCTTTATATTATGTACCTTAATGATAATTCATGAATCCCGATAAATATGATTATCAATTCGTATAACCACGAAGCTAGCTTGCAGTTTTATTTACACAGACTAGAAGAGTGGATCAATGCATGGAATTACTGGCCGAGACATGATAGTGTTACTGGACAGAGAATATTCTATATTGTTTCCTGTTTGGTGGTGTAATGATCCTATGGCTCGAGACCACTCCCAAGGCTATTATTAGGGCCATCTCTGATCCATCCCTAGGCGACCAGTTCCTCATTCATAAACTTAAAAGAAAGTCTTTTGTTGCTGCGGGGCTACCTTGAATCTCCACTACATCGTATCCATGCCGGAGTGACGATTCCCGTTTTCGGGAAAGATTGCTTGTACGTACCAACCTGCCGTTCCTGAACAAAGAATGTGGATACAACCCAAAACGTCCAGCTTTTCTTTCTTAAGGTTTACCCATATAATCCCAAAATAGTGACCCATGATTACCAAGAGACTTCACGAGAAGGCGCAAGAAGTGTGCAGTTTGCGACATGCAAGATATTTCACCTTGTTCAATGTCTCCTCTCACTTTGTAGACCATCTTCAACTGGCGCCAGTTCTCAGCATGATTCGGGGGAAATCCAGATTTACGAAATACATTGTCGCTGCATTCGCCAGTTATATTATTCTCACTCTTTTATTCAATGGTACGGGGGGAAAGTATTGGAAACGGGACTGGGTGAAGATCGCGCGGTCCACGTTAGAGGATCGGGCGCTGGAGCATATTCAGAATGAGACGCTTGGGGTTTGTTCCGTTTTACATTTCCTGATGATGTCCGTTACGTATTACTAACGGTTTTCGACAGTTTGAACACATTTACGCCATTGGGCTGAAAGAACGAACAGATAAGCGCGATTTCCTCAACCTCGCTGCGTCGATAGCCGGGTTTCGGGTCGAATGGGTAGACGGGGTACATCCAGAGGATATGAGCGAGAAGGCTCTGCTCAACGTACGCTGCTTTATGTCTGAGACCTCTGGCCATAGCTAACACCTCTTATAGGAAAATTTATTAGCACCATCCGAGATAGGATGCTGGCGCGCTCATATGAACGCTTTGAGCAAGTCAGTATGCTCCTTCGTCAATGCAAAAACCCTATCCTGATATAAGCTGACATTATCATGATATAGTATGGTCCAAAATTCCTACTCAACAGCGCTTATCCTTGAAGACGACGCAGACTGGGACGTTGGCATTAGGCAGCAACTCCGCGAATTCGCTCGAGGCGTGCGCGCGTTAACCAGAAATGCTAATACGACCAAGAGCGCTCCATACGGCACCAACTGGGACATCCTCTGGGTGGGCGGATGCGCTTCATCTGCCGCTCCCAACGAGACGCAATTCTATGCCATCCCAAATGACCCAACTGTCCCCAGTGTCGATCACCGTGGTACGTGGGGCGGCCCCCTCGACTCATGGAAGGATATTTATCCTGAGACGTCGACTCGTTTCATTTATCGGGCTGATATGGGCTGCTGCACCTATGGGTACGCGGTGACCAAGCGAGGCGCAGAGAGGATTCTAGCAGCCTTAGCAGTCGATCGGCTCGTGGCTGCAGTGGATAACTCTATGGCTGATATGTGTGGGGGTAAGGATGGCCGTTCGCAGATCGAGTGTTATGCGCCGTTCCCCAACATCATCGGGACGTACAAAGCGGCCGGTCTTGCGTCGAAGGATTCGGACATCCGTGAAGGCAGCGACGAGTGGCACGAGGCACAGGCTTGGAACCTCATGTACAGCACTCGACTGAATATTCATCGACTGGTGGCTGGTAGGGATACTGTTTATGCCCAGTATGATGAGGGTTTTCCTTGGTCGCGGCGCGTGTTGGATTGGAAGGAGTTCGAGTACCCGAGGGGTTATCTAGTTTCTTGAGCTTGTTGGTACATATTTGCTAGCGCGACTTATAGTAATTATATCCAAGAATGTATTGTCCCTTGTTTAACCCTTAGCTATGGCTTTTGTGCCTCCGATAGATAAGAAGAGCCTGGCCCAGGTCGCTCTTGCTGCGCAGTCCATGGAACCTGGCCCGTACAACACAGATCGATCCCTCTCCTAACCACAACGACCCAACAAATGAACGGAGAACCCCAAGCTCAATTCCCGCGAAATTCACAGTCCAAGCATACAAAGTCTGGTCCCTGACGGAAACAGGAACCGCCACCCCTCTCCCAAGGTTTACAGGAGCCGTACAAACCCACATTCCAGTGCCCGCAACCATCCCTATCTTACTTCCGTTTCCGGCTTCGATCCAGGTTCCCCGCCCCCCCTGGCGCACATCACGAGTACGAGAAGTAACTATAAAGTGTAACATTGAGGTTCCTTTCTGACCCGCTCTTTTCTCAATCATGTGCCTTTGGATACGGTAGAGCACACTCGCACAAGTCTGGGTCGTGGGGCCTCATGATGTTTCAGTGCGTTCTTCTCTCTAGCACCACAACCTCTGGGTCACTCTAGACATCATGTACTTGGTAGACCTGTTGGACATGACCTGTAGCGCCACCCAACCAAGGTAGATGTCATTGAGAGAAAGTGGAGTGGATGGTGGTAGAGTTTCTTTCCTTCCTTGAAATAGAGATCCCTGGTGCATACATAGCTTTTAGGACCCGGGGATGATATGCTGTGTTTATTGCAGAGCCTCACCCTCTAGAAAGCAACACGATTCGCTGAACCGATCCAATTATACTATACTGGGTTTTCAACATGGTTGTTGCAGAAACGAACCCGAAGGACGATGAGTGCAAGGGTCTATTGACTTCGATAAGTTGCACTCCTGCAAGCCCACCACCACCACCACCACCCTCATCACCACCCCCATCATCGGACGATGTGAAGCTGGAGCTGGGATATTATTCATATGAGGATGAAAAGAGGCCTGGGGCGTTGTCTGAAGAGCCGGAAAAGCAGATAGGAAGTGTTGGACTTCTTGTATGGATGACAATTAATATTGTCGCGACTGTTGCTATTGTAAGTTTCTGTCATGCTAGCCATGAAGATGATTATTACTAGTTACTGACACACTCAATCAGGTCTTTACTAACAAATCCATCCTCTCCAATGCATCTTTCCGCAACTCACAAGTATCCTTCGCCGCCTACCATTTCACCATCACCGGACTCACACTATGGCTAGCATCGCGGCCATTCTGCGGCTGGTTCAAACCAAAGCACGTATCACCCTATCGAATCCTCCACCTTGTTGCGGCCATGTGCATCCAGGTCATTTTTCAGAACCTGGCTTTGGCTTATTCGTCGGTTATCTTTCACCAGCTGGCGCGGCTGCTCCTTACACCTGCTACGGCGTTGTTAAATTTTGTGCTGTTCCAGTCCAGCATCCCCAAGTCGGCGTTCCTTCCCCTGGTCCTACTCTGCACGGGAGTTGGCATTGTCTCGTACTTTGATTCACTACCGTCCGCGAAAGGCAACGATACTACGACACCAGAGGGTATTTTCTTCGCTTTGTCGGGTGTGTGCGCTAGTGCACTGTACACGGTCTTGGTGGGCCGGTATCATAAGAAGCTGGAGATGAGTAGTATGCAGCTTCTGCTCAATCAGGCCCCTGTCAGCGCGGCTGTCCTGCTGTGTGTTGTTCCGTGGATGGAGACGTTTCCAGAGGTTGCGACTGTTCCTGGGTCGTTGTGGACTTCGATACTTGCGGTAAGTTGACTCGGTTGTTTCTTTGTTTGACAATGAATAAGGGTAGAGAAGTGGCTGATTTATGCTTCGCAGAGTGGAATATTCGCTTGTCTGGTGAACCTGTCTCAGTTCTATATAATTGATGCTGCTGGGCCGGTTACAAGCACGGTGATCGGACAGCTCAAGACGTGCATCATTGTAGGGCTGGGATGGGTGCTGAGTGATCATGAGATTCTGCGGCAGAGTGTCGCGGGTATTTTGATGGCTTTGACGGGAATGAGCTTGTAAGTTACCTTGTCTTTCTGGTTACTCTGGTATAACTGACTTCCTGTAGGTATATGAGGATAATTTTGAGGCACCAAACATGATAAATATGAAATCTGAAGGTGTATACTCCGCGGAGGTTGGCATTGGGTGGATTGTACTAGGATGGGAGTGGATTTGGGGTACATATGCTCGTGTTCGAATTTCTTTTTCCATTCACAGAAAATGTGGCATATAACTATACTGTTTGCAATATCCTGGACAAGCTTGGATCGAAGAGTGCTTAGAAGATGAGATATAAGTGTATAACATCAAATGCAATACTATCTACAGCGTCTCAAACGAACGGTATCGATTGAGCCATTTGCTCGATCGAAGCTGTCGGAAAGAGAAAATGGCTCCCGAATTCCCTACCCTTATGCCTGTCGCTCGAAGTAAGTTTTCAAATTCTTTGAAAATCAAGGAGCCATCCGCCCGGTCGATCAGTAGGTGCGAGTGGGTCGTATTCGTGTGATGAACGTTTTCGGCAATGGAGCATCAGTGGATGTGACGCTGAGGTACCTGGTCCAAGTAAGACATATCCGCCTTGACTCCATCACTGAATACGAAGATTGTTGATCCACCAATGCCCACCCTGCCATTGTACATGGGACCATGTCCATATTACCTGGCCCTGGTCCAAGATTCTATCTAGGGTGAGGCGAGAACAACTTCAGGGTGGTCTCTTCTATGATAACCCCCAAACCACATTATCGCCTGATCATTGCCCCGAAATTCAAAATCTTTGCCAAATCGCCCTGATGATACTTCAGTCATCTCCTCGAGGATCCTGCCTCCAATGGCTCACATCCCAATTTAACCGGCGTCGATTTCAGCTCTCGTTCGCCCTTGCCATTGTTCTTCTCCTCTCATACCTCTTCCATCTTGATGTCCTCCCAACCGACTATGAGGCCCCCTTCAAAGACCACTATGCTCGCACTCTTTCAGCACGAGAGCTCCTCGCCCGTCCGCTCTCCCAAGATCTCACCACCATCCCTAAGCTTATCCATCAGACGTGGTTCCCTGCCGGTAGCAACATGAGCGACGATGCCCAAACCTGGGTACGAACAATGCGCTCGCAGAATGCAGATTGGGAGTATGTACTATGGGATGACGAGACGAACCGGATGCTCGTGGAACAGTACTTCCCTTGGTTCCTGACAGACTACAACCGTCTCCCCAAGGAGATCCACCGAGCAGATGTGGTTCGCAACCTCTACATGTACCTATTCGGAGGGTAAGTCACCACCGAAACTATTATCCTCGCATTAGCTAACAGCAGTAATCTCTAGAATGTACGCCGACGTCGACACAGAAGCTCTCCGGCCCGTGGAGCCTCTCTTCACCAGCCATTCCACCACCCTTGCCAAGCACAGTCAAATCCTTTCCTCAGGGCCACGCAAGAACGACCATGAATGCACACAGCGCGGCTTTGTCGGCCATATGGCACACAAAGAAGGATTGGATGGCCCCGCCGCCGTCCCTAATGGCTGGATGGCATCACCCCCCGGCCACCCTTTCTGGCTCCTGCCTGTGATCCACGTGATTGAGAATCCCAACGGGAACGGCGATGGATCTGTTGAGTCACTTACGGGGCCTGGGGCACTTGGTACTATGCTACACAAGTATTACGAGGACTTCAAGGATAGTTCGGTGCGGACGCATGTGTGTCGAACGGTGCGGCGGTGGTCACCTGCGTGGGACCTGTACTGTGGACCAGAGGGCAGTGAAGATGAGGTTGGGGCAAAGGCTGATAAGATGGTGGTGTTGCCGCGACAGCAGATCTATCCGTATAGCTGGGCGGATGATAAGCACCCGGCGTGCCTGGCGGCGTGGGGCAATCCGGACTTCAATCCGGATGAGTGTAAGCGGTGGATTGATGTGGATGAGTGGCCGAGTTATTTCATTACATATTGTACGCATTCGTGGTGAGAAAGCATGGAAGTAAGTAGGATTTGATGTGCTGGTTTCTGGGCAATAGACCGATTGGTATTGTGGATTGGTGTTTTAGGTTGATAGTTTTCTTGTTTAACAATAGTTCAAGCTTTTATGGTTATGCTGATCGGAATGTATGGATCTGCGTGAAGAGAACTGCCATTGTATGGCTGGCACAAGCCATGTGTTGTCACTCTTACTATTTGACATACAAAGCCAAGAATCTTCGCTTGTGAATATGCTAGCTCCAACATAAAAGACTATTAGCCAATGTCTCAATAGTGAATAGATTTACGGACATAAAGACTGAAAGGTTTGACACATTAAGTTTTTGCAGGCTCCAGCTTAAGGATGCCCATTCCCAAAACGGAACAGTCACCCTTTTCCGTGCTCTGATTGGTCAATGGGGTCAATGTCCGCAAGCGTCAGCCCTACTCGATTAATAACTATACTACTACTAGACTAGTATACAGAATACAGTTAGAACATCTTCCGAGCTTCCGGTAGGCAAATGGGTTGCCCCGTCAAGGTTGGCCAACTTTCACCAGACATTCTGTTATTTTCTCATCCAGTCTCACCCCATCCCTGTTAGTCGGACAGTCTAGCTCAACGACGTAAGCATGGCCAAAGAATACTATCTAGTTAGTCAGCTCAGCTTACGATCCCCTGTCTCATCCTAAAATCTATCTGGAGATCCACCCGCTCCGAAGTTCCCCCATTGCCCCTGAATCCGGGTGTTAATCATCATCGATACCCACAATGACTATATTATTGAGAGTTGGATTGCTACCCGGCCCCTGATCCACCAGCCCCATCCGAGATTCCTCAGACTCAGATCGTAGCAAATGGAACGTGTGCGCGACAACCTAAGCTAGTCCCTTGTAAGTAGCCGCCAATGGACCTGCTACAAATAAACGCCCCCAAAACACTGGAGACCAATCAGATTCCCTTCATTTGGACCCCTGCTACGACCTGACCAATGAAAGCAGCTTTTAAATGGCCGCCTACGGACCTGCTGAAGCTTGATTGATGCAGCTGTGCAGTTGCAATGAATGAATCATGCAGAGTAGGGTTACACCCAAGCCTTCCTCCCACGGATGAGACCCCGTCAAAACCCGCAAACGTCCCAGGGTCACACTCTCTCCTTCGTTTAGCCCCAGACCCTGATTTTCTCGGTCCAGACTATCCCGGCGTTGCAGTGGTTGCCAGTTCCATGGAAATAGACCTAGCACCTAGCAGAAGGAAGTAGTGCTATCCACCACTACTAGTACTAGATATATCCAGGTTTGACCGTGAGATGGTTCTTTTGGCGGAGTGAAACGCCCCTAATGGCCACCTCGCGCTTCTTTGGAGACACTGTTTATTAGTATTACTTTTGTGTCAACTGGAAGGCCCGTTAGAGTCCCTCCCAATAATGGCGATCCTGGATATTCCGCCCAAGGAGGCTTCAGTATGGCCTATTACTCTGGGCATTCTGTATGTAGTCTACCAGTCAGCCAAAATCACCAGCGTTAACCATCAAATGTAGGTCGTGGGTGTTTTGGTCGAACTTGACCATTTTATTCAATAAATGGGTGATTGAGTCCACTGAATTTAGTACGTGAATTACTCCAATCCACTGTACTCACTACGGACATGAACATCCCACTAACATTTTCCAGGATACCGTGAGTTTGTCTTCATGATATGAGGGAGTGTATCAACACAGTCTAACCAACAATTCAAACCCAGCAATCATCCTAACAACATGGCATCTCGTCTTCGCAACCCTTGCTACTCAAGTTCTCGCCCGAACCACCACCATGCTCGACGGTCGCAAGAGAATGCGCATGGACGGCCGAACCTACGTCCGCATGATCATCCCCATCGGCATTCTTTACAGCGGTAGTCTCGTCTGCAGCAACATCGTCTACCTCTACCTGAATGTTTCCTTTATTCAAATGCTCAAAGTACGCCCCCCATCGCCCGCAATATAATTTGTCAATACTAAGGAAACAAAAACAGGCCTGTGGCCCAATAGTAACCCTCCTCACCAGCTGGGCCTGGCATGTCAAAACCCCGTCGCTCGAATCCTTCCTCAACATCCTCCTCATTGCCTTCAGTGTCGCCCTCGCCGTTGCCGGCGAAGTCCAATTCTCCTGGCTCGGCGTCATCTACCAACTCGCCAGTCTTGTTTTTGACGCCAACCGTCTTGTCATGATCCAGATCCTGCTGTCAGACGAGGGCCAGAAAATGGATCCCCTGGTGACACTGTACTACTCTGCCCCGGTGTGCGCTTTCACGAACTTTATGATCGCGTTCTATACTGAGCTGCGTGGGTTCAGTTGGAGTGTGGTTGGGGAGACTGGGTTCGGGGTGTTGTTAGCAAATGCCGCGGTGGGGTTTATGTTAAATGTGTCGATTTTTGTTCTGGTATGTATTTCCCGTTTCTTTTCTGTCCTGGCTGGTGATAAGGTGATGATTGTATGTGAGTGCTAATGAACCTGGGTATGTCTAGATTGGGAAGACATCCGGTTTGACTATGACGCTGGTTAGTGTGCCAAAGAACATCCTGTTGATTGTTTGTTCTGTGGTGATATGGGGCACGCAGATCACTTCGCTTCAGATGGTGGGATATGCGATTGCGTTGTTGGGGTTGTTGTATTATTCTCTGGGGTGGGCAACTATTAGGAGGGCATATGATTCTGGGTATGTCAGGCTGGTTGGGAGACAAGTAGAGAGGGTGGAGAAAGAGGAGGAAAATGTATAGAGTGGAGGAGATGCGGTTTCTTGATGGCTTTTGTTTTGGTGTTGTTGATTGAGGGTTCTAGGTCGGCGTTTAGAGAGGTATGTAATATAAGATAATATCATACTACTTGGATATATTGGAGTCTCTGAAATTATAAGACTATATCAGCTTTAGGTGGCTACATTCTTGGGCTAATAAGCAGCGAAAGTCTATGAAGATCGGTATGGAAACTTCGACTAGAATCTACAGCAACTCGCAGAAAGAATTCTATGAATCAGCACACTACTAAAATCACCTCAGTACCCTATAGGTACTTCAGTGTACGTATCATGAAAACACTAAGTTGGGTTATGGCTTGTGCCGTCCGCATTTTCCTTGATCGTGTAGACTCAACTACAACTTGATGCGCTATAACCCTTTCAATGGTCCTATGGTAATGTCTGTCTATGTATAGAGTCAGTTAACCATTGCGATCTAATAAGAAAAGTGCTAACCTACAGTAGCTCGGCGCTGCACCGTCGGAACAAAGCCCGGGGAGTGGATCCATAATGTCGCGGGGTTGGGACCGGAATTGCGCCGACCAGCGGGGAAGACTTTACGAGTAAGCAATTCTACTATATCTACCATCTTTTCCCAGAAAAATCCATTAGTAACATTTGAATAGTCACATCTTTCTCACCCTCAAGTCACCTTAAGAAACTTACCATGGACCAACTAAACGACATTGGTGGCCGATTGGCCCTTATCACCGGCGCCTCAGGAGGGTACTCTCTTCCACCCCCATCCATACCACACTTGAAGTCAACAAATCCATTATTAACAAACAAATACCATAGAATCGGCGCCGCCTGTGCCCGCCAACTAGCTGCCAAATCCGTGCACTTAGCTCTCACCTACTCATCCAATTCGACATCCATAACCACCCTCCAGAAAGAGCTCCAAGCCCAACATCCCACCCTCGTCATCACTATCCACCAAGTCGACGTCTCCTCACCCGTCCAGATCACCACCCTTTTCACCGAGATCCAATCCCAACACAACAACCGCACCCCGGACATCCTCATCTCCAATGCCGGGTACGGCAAACGGGTCCCGCAAGTATGGGACATCACGATGGAGGAATTCGATTACACTCTGACCGTGAATCTACGGGCCTCGTTCCTGCTCGTGAAGGGGGTAGTCGAACACATGAAGACGCAGCGCTGGGGGCGGATCATCTTCATGTCGTCGATTGCGGGGTATGGGGGTGGCATTAATGGATGTCATTATGCGGCCTCAAAGGCAGGGTTGACGGGGATGATGAAGAACCTGGCAACGAGGTTAGCAGAGTACAATATTAGTGTTAATGATGTTGCGCCGGCGATGATTGGGGATACAGGGATGATCCCTAATGCTGAGGCCATTCCGGAGGTGGCAAGCACGATTCCCCTAGGGAGGTTGGGGTTGCCGGAGGAGGTGGCTAATGTTGTCACTATGTTAGTGAAGACGGGGTATATGACGGGGCAAAGTTTGTTGTTGGCGGGAGGGCTGAAATGATGGGTTTCTTCGGTTAATATAGATGTATGGATTCAATTCAATTTCATCTTTATGTCCTTTGACTTGATCGCGCCCGCTGTGTATATTTGAATGGATGGATGTGGGCTGTTTCTCTGAGGATTGTAAGCATGAGCACTCTTGTTTCTTTCTGGTCGCTAGCTTATCTATGGTTAGGTTATCGCATGAGCAAAGGGACAGTATATCTAGAGAATTTACCTTTCCACAACCAATAAATGAGTAACTTACTAGTAAACACACGCGAGCAGCATGATGAAAGCATGTACTACTTAGCTAAGGACCCATAGAACACAACCAGTCCGAGAACAGCGATAGCTCATCACAGCACGAGGAAGTACACTTGACAAAAACACAGACAGATGTCAGTCATTACTATTAGATTGTTAGATGTGCCCTTGATTCCTCAACTGTATCGTGAAATTCCAATATTCCAAACAGGCAGTATTAATCCTATGCTACATCGTCTATTTCTATGATACCGTGAGAACTGGAACAATAACCAATTATTATCTACTGCCTCTTACCTTCCAGGCGAGAGGGGAGGTTGTGATCCTGGAGGGAGATGAGTAAGTGTGGATGGGTAGTATACAGTATACGTTACTGCCATCGGGAAGCCGTCATGCTGACATCATTGCCGTTGCATCGCGACAGTTTTCCAATCACATTTCTATCGCGAAGAAAAAAGAAAATGGCTACAAACTCCCAAGAATCAAATACATGAACAGTAGCCAGGATGTTCATTATTACATTTTTGCACTGGATAGCAGACTATCTGCTGTCTTTGGTCAAGATGGTAAGCCTTACCTCTGTCGCCTATCACAGCAACTAACGGGTCTTAGGTCCAAAATAGAGAGGTTGGATGGATCACCATAGAGCGCAAGGTAATATTCTCGCTGATCGCTTTAATCCATGCGCCGTACTTACAGGAGACAGACCGGTAAACACATGCGGGAACAGCAGCCGCTGTGGAAGAAGCTTAAGCTGCTTCTCTTATTCAACCCGTTAACAGAATGGCTGGATACCACTCACCTGATGCGATTATACTTGCATCATACTGCCGTTGAAGAAGGTACTTTTTCTGTTTCTCTTTTTTCTCGAGACCCAGCGTTGACCCCTGCAGGCAAACAAGAAGCCACCCCTGCATCTCGGAAACGCATCAAGGCCTTTGTTGACTTCTACCACATCAACATGAACGACTTCACCCCTTCCGACATAACAGCCTATGCAACATTTGAGGACTTCTTCGTACGTGCCCACAAGCCCGGCTCACGCCCAATCTACCGTAAAGACGACCCTACGGCTGCAGTGATAGTTGCCGACTCGCGCGTCGTTGCCTACGAAGCCGTAGCCGAGAGCAAGAAGATATGGATCAAGGGGAATGATTTCTCTATCACGAATCTGGTAATGGATAAGCAATTGGGCCCGAAGTTCGCGGATGGCCCGGTGGCGAGTTTTCGGTTGTCGCCGCAGGATTATCATCGGTACCATAGTCCGGTTTCGGGGACCATTAAGCAGTTTCGAAGCATGCCGGGTGACTATTATGAGGTAGATCCGATAGCGCTGCAGAGTCAGGTGGACATCTTAACGAGGAATGCGAGGGATTATGTGGTTATTGAAACGAAGGAGTTTGGGGAAGTGCTTTTTGTGGCTATTGGGGCTTCGCAGGTGGGGACAGTTAGGTATGCACTTTTTGAGTTGTGGTGCCAGTTGAAGAGTGCTAATGGTCAGTAGGATTCATCCGCAGTATCAGCAATCGGGGACTCAGATACACAAGGGTGATGAGCTTGGGATCTTCCAGTTTGGAGGGTCGTCCATTATTGTGGCATTCCAGAAGGGTCGTATACAGTTTGATGAGGACATTCTGAAAGCGAGTAAGAACGCCATTGCTGTTGATGTTGAAGTGGGGATGAGTCTGGGTCGGGCTGTCGGTGAGAAGGTACATGACGAGCTATAGTATCAGTTAGTGGCTAGTGGATGCCATGCTGGAAGCAGGACAATATTAGTGTTGGGCTTGTGCCCTTTTATTAGTCAAGATAAAATTCGGTAGACGGACTGGGGCCATGGTGGACCTAAGAATACCCGTCATCAAAGAATTTATATTCAGTCTGATAAATATGTGACAATGACGATCCTGGATTGTAATCTGCAGTAGGGTTTATCTACTACTAGTCCTTCACAAGCACCTGTCTCCGCAGTAGATGAACAGTGTTCGTCAACAACCCATCATGAAGGAAGCGGGTGCCACCGACAAACTAGGCGTGAGATACCTGACTCTGATAGGCATGACGACAGAAAGAAAGGGAAAACAGCTCATGTGAGCTACTAGTAGTTTGGATGATCCACTCAGCTATGTTGGTTGATCATCTACCACTTCGGTATGTGGGCCAGTGACCATCACGTGACAGCCCAATACCCACTTTCTCCAGCGCCAGTCGGTGGCCACCTCAACTACTGCCTATCTATCTATCTACAGAATGGCGCCGGTTATCTAGAGCGACCCTGTTTCCATCATTATTATCTCTCAGCATTATCCCTGCATCTTTGTCCATCACTGTATCGCCATGAAAGGCCTTCGAGGGCATAATAAAAAGTCTTCCTGGGGGAACACAAGACTATCCGACCTGCTATGGTCGGTGACACTACTTCCAGGCCTGATCTCCGCTTATCAGCCCGTATACCTCGGATCCCGACCAGCGTCGCCCTTCCTCCCTCCTCAGATCCCGCTGGGTGACTCGCCCCCCCTCTCAGACACCCACGAATTCACGCTTCGCCATATCTTTCACCGAGGAACTTATCAAGATCCTGATCTCCATCGCCGGCTAGATATCACGCCAGACACTCGTCTTCGGACCGTCTCAGACGAAGGAGTCGAAACCGATGTCGTCACACCGAACACTCCGCTGGTTGCTTCGTCAAAACCGCTCACAATCGAAAGACTTGCAGACCGACGCCTGTCGGTCATTGAAGAACACCTAGTGACTGCACGATCCTCTGGCTCGGCAGTGGCGCTGTCGCCGTCCGATTGGGTCATGGATACGCTGCCGGGCCCGAATGTCACAGAGAAGAAGACCGTCGTTGCTTTGGCGATGATGACGGCGAATGACTACATCGAGGTACCTGGGACCGGGGATTGGCAGGATATTCATGGTCGGTTCAACCACTCTGGAAGTTTTGGGTGGCAAGGAGACGGGCTCCGAGGTCACGTATATGCCGATAAGACCAATAGCACGGTGGTCATCTCCCTCAAGGGAACTTCACCGGCCTTGTTCGATGGCGAGGGCACTACTACAAATGATAAAATCAACGACAATCTATTCTTCAGCTGCTGCTGTGGCCAGGGGGGCTCTTACCTCTGGCGGCAAGTCTGCGATTGCCAGACAACCCTGTACAATGCGAACCTGACGTGCATTGTTGAGGCGATGCTAGATGAGAACCGATATTATCGCGCCTCAATCGACCTTTACTCTAATATCACCGAGATGTACCCAAATGCCAACGTTTGGCTGACCGGCCATTCTTTGGGTGGTGCGGTGTCCAGCTTGCTAGGCTTGACATTTGGGGTACCAGTTGTTACCTTCGAAGCTGTTCCGGAAGCACTCCCAGCAGCTCGTTTGGGTCTTCCCAGTCCGCCAGGACATGACTCACGTTACCCTCAGTCACGTAAGAACACTGGATCATATCATTTCGGACATACGGCAGACCCGGTCTACATGGGAACTTGCAATGGAGTTAGCTCGGTTTGTACCTGGGGTGGCTACGCCATGGAATCCGCATGCCATACTGGTCAAATGTGTGTCTATGACACTGTTGAAGACAAGGGCTGGCGTGTTGGACTCAGCAAACATCGCATCAACTATGTCATTGCGAATGTTCTTGCTGGCTACGACGATGTGCCTCCCTGTGCGCCTGAAGAGGAGTGCTACGATTGTGAACTCTGGAAGTTTTTCCGCAGTAATGGCTCTGAAATCACTACTACCACCTCGGCCACCTCTACATCCACGTCTACTACGACTAGCAGAACATCTACCTGCAAGACTCCCGGATGGTGGGGCTGCTTGGATCCAACCACGACTGGCGAAACAACGTCGACCTCCACCTCCACCTCCTCCTGCAAGACCCCTGGCTGGTTTGGCTGCAAAGATCCAACAACCACCTCGGATATTACATCTGCACCAACAATCACCACAACTGAACCTCCCATGACCTCGACCACTACCTGCAAGACCCCCGGCTGGTTCGGCTGCAAGGATGAAACAACAACACCAGTTGTGATTGCACCTGCAGCAACCCTCACCATAACTGAGCCTCCCGTTACCTCGACTACTACCGGCAAGCACTTGGGCAGGTTGTGAACATCCTCAGAGTCAAGCGTCGATTCGACTCACCTTTTCGAACCTGCTTCCTCTGCCTTCACAGTCGCCCGAAGAGACAAGCTGGATGGCGCGCAGGAAGCCTCTTCATCGGTTTGAGGCATAAGCACCGATCATGCCGGCAAGCATAACAATAAACAACTCCCGTGTCGAGCAACACCCGAATGAACTTCACGCCGGCACTGGCCCCACGAGACGCCTTACCAGACATACTCCACACCTGGTTTGACACCGAGGAATCCTTCTGAGCCCGAAAGTTGAATTTCCTTTCCACTCTTGCCAGTTTCGCGTGGCAACGCGCTTCATGTGACATAACGCATTTTGGTACGACTATCAGCATTGCTAGACAAGCGTGATTTTGGCGTTTTGAGTTTCCTTTGATTCCCTTTCTTTTTGACTATTTCTCAGTGGTCCATTTGGCATCGCTGTCATACCATTTTACATTGAGCACTCGCCGTGGCACAGAGAAGCTGGCAAACGGATTGTCCCAATTAATGGCGAGATCATCAGCGGTGAATTTGGGGGCCCATAAACGAGGCGTATCTACCAGCTTGTAAAAAGAATCTGCAACTTCTAGCTGACCGGCCTCTCGGTAAGCGAGAGCAAGGAACATAGCAGACAAATCGCTGCCCATGTTCAATCCCAGCTCCCACCACTCGAGAGCAAGATTATTGTAGTATTCGTGGGGTGCCAGACCACGGACAATGCTGGAGTAAAGAGTTTCCAATCTACCCTTTTTGAGTACCTCGCTAGAGTCTTCTTCCGACCGCGGAACAAACGTCTTCTCTCCCCGACGGGGGAACAGTCCTCTCGCAGTAAGGTAGTAGAAATGGGCCAAAGAGGCGCAAGCACTGGGAACACCGGCCATTGCAGCCTGATGCATGTACTGCTCGTACTTCTCATAATCACCAGCCTCAAACATGGCGGAAGCATAACTCGACAAGTAGTTAGGCTCTTGGTAATCCACTCCTGCCAGACGGGCCAGCTCATCTCTGCTAACGCCCCAATTCACTCCCTTCTTCTTCAGCCCCTCTTGTAGTTGGATATACGTCGGCCACACCTGGGGAATGTTGTAGAATGAAAGAGGCGTCTCCAGGCCCTCCACTCGTGTCGAAGGATAGATAGTCGACATGAGCTCATCCATAAACGGCACCGCGCTTTCATGTTCCCCGCGGGCAATCAGCGTTCTCACATAAACATGCATAGCACGAGGATCACGTTCTTGCAACGCCCATTGTTCAACTTTATCCAGGAATTGAGTGCGTAGGGGGTAATTCGGATGCGCATCGTCGAGGTTCCGTTGAGCGAGCATAAGGGCAGGGGATCTAGCGCCTGCGAGAGCACAAGCACTGTGGAGCCAAACTTCCAGGGCACGATTATCGGGACTCAGTAGGCACCTCGAAACGTTCCAGATAACCTCGACGTTGGTGGAAATTGCGCGAATCGCACGTGCGGATGGAGGCTGGGAATAGGCGGTTCGCAGCAGGGATTGTGCGATTTGTTTGTATTTTTCGAGGCTCAGCTTCGCGCGACCGTAACTTCCTTCATAGCTGTGGGTTTCCTTCCACCGGTCATAGTGTTCCTCCACGGTCTTCTCCAGCCTTTGTAGCATTTTCTCGACATCGCCTTGGACAGTGTGGGCGAACACGCCGTCAATTGTGAAGACGGCTTGTCTCCGAGTGGATTGAGCTTTCCGCGCTATGGGAGATCGTGGCGCTGCATAAGAGGGCGTCGTCGTATGGAAAGATTTGGCTTCATAGCGGGCGAGTCGGCGATGGCGGGTCGAATAGCTCAGGGGAGGGGAAGTGCGCGTCAAGGTGTTGGATTCCGGGTGCAATTGTAGGCGACATTGTCGCAGGACAGAGGAGGTCCGGGAAAGGGACATTATGAGGATGTTGATCAGCCGTAAGTGAGAGATGTCGAGAGGTCACTTGCGTGGGATCCCGACCAGTGTTGATATGATAGCAGTAAGTTGGTCCGGTTGCGGTCACGTGTTACACAGGCCATTATGCACGGTCATGTGATGATTAGTAATCAAATATCGTGATTTACTAGTTAACTAGTTATTATTTTTTGTTTACAAATTCTTCGTGGCATGAAGTCGTACTATCATTTCATGGATCTGTCTTCTCCAACATAGTCTACTGTGTTCTGTTTGCATGTGCTGCGGAAAGTGTTAAGTTCAATAGTACTTATACACGGCGTCTCTTTCTGCTCAATGAAGTTGCCGCGATACGATATACTATTATCAGGGTTGGCAGCTATCGCGGAAATGTAAAAGTCTGAGACAGTGAGACAGCAGACATTTATCAGCATCCGAGAAAGCCCCGAAGTATAGGCTGCTACTACATAATTCAAAGCTCTTAATTACGAGTCAATGATTCAACAACAACAACATATATCGGTGCTATACTCAATTAATTTTCCTGTGATGAGGGGGAATGAGAGAATGTTGGGGAGGGAAGCGCGATAACACTAGACGAACTAGTGACAGGCGAACAAGTCAAACAAACAACATTGTGTGGTCCTTGATGAGTGCCTCGTTATCGCATTGAAAGTACAACCGATAAACTCCGCGTGATCCAGCGCGCAAAATGGTATATAAATCAAAGTTTCGGGGTG